ACGGGGACGGCGACGGGGACGGCGCCGGTGAGTGAGCGAGCGAGCGGGCGGGCGGCCTCCGCGCGGGCCCGCGGGCGGGCGGGGCGGGGGCGCGCCCGCGCGGAGGGGGCTCGTGGCGCCGCGCTCCGGGCCCTCACCTGGCCGCTTGTGCGCAGGGCTCCCGCCGACGGCCACGATGGGCGAGGCGGCGGCAATCACGCCCGCGATGCTGCGGGAGGAGGCGGCGCTGGAGGCGCAGGGCCGAGAGGAGGAGAGGCAGATCCTGGAGAAGGTGAGCCGCGCCGGCCGGCGGGACGGACGGGCTCGCGGGCGGGAGCGGCTCTCCGGCGCCGGGACAGGACCCCGGCGCCGGGCTGCATTCGCGCGCCTGATTTGCGACGCCTTATGCAGATGGCCCCATTTGGGGTGCGTTTTGGGTTGCAGTTAATTAACGTTTGGAAAAAGCATCGCTGGGGAATCCACGTGCGGGGCCGCCTCCCCGCGCCCAGTGTCGAGGGACCCGCCGCGGCGGCATCTCTGGCCAGGGCAGCCTCCGGGAAGAGGCTCGGTGGGCGCTCCGGAGGGCAGCGGGAGAGGCGACCGGCGCTGCCAGGATGTGGTGTGCCCTGGTTGCACTCGGCCTCTTTCCTGGCTGCGTGTGAACAGGATATTCTGCTGCCCGTGGTGGTCTGCATCCTCAGCGGGCTCACAAAGCTACGTTACACGTGAGGCTTCGGGAAAAAGCAGGGGAATAGAATGGCTTAAAGTGGGTGTCATGTAATGCTTGCAGCTAATGTATTGCGTCTGTGCAGCTGGGATGGATGCTCTGTTCCGCTGAAACTGGCAGCAGGTTGCATCTTTTTTGTCCCGTAGGCACGCATGTCCTGGGACAGAGACTCTAGTGAAATGCGCTACAAGAGGCTTCAACACTTACTTGAGAAAAGCAATATCTACTCAAAGTTTTTGCTAACTAAAATGGAACAGCAGCAGCTGGAGGTAAGAAAAAGCAGGGGCATCAGTGGCATGGTGTGTCTTCGACCAGCCCCAGCTGGTGGCTCGGCGCTACTCCTGTTGGGATAGGGATAACCTAGTTTCAGTCTAGCCTAGCTAGACTAGAGTACCACCATGCTCTTTACATGGGGCTGCCCTGGAAGGCTGTTTGGAAGCTGCAACTTATGCAAAATGCAGAGCTGCACTGATAACCAGGGGCTGCAGGCACAACATCAGCTCTGGCCTGCTTGGAGGTTGCCTAGTAACTAATGCTTCTGAGTTCGAAGGGGACGTCGCCTTGTGTCAAGTGGGGCAGCACTTGAGGTCTGAGTACTGCTTAAAAGATGCAGTGCCAGAGTCTTGGCGAGGGGTTCATTTAGCGCCACCCATGGTTGGCAGGGTGGTGGGGCATGCTGCTTGCTGGAGATTTGGGGCTGCTGTACTCATGAGCCAGCTACTGATACCACCTCTGCTGCAGGAGTTGGTTGAAAGACAAGATAATTTTTAAAAAATGAGAATAAAGACATACTTGTGTGATGTTGCTGTAGAACACAATGCAAAGGCAGCAGCAAGGAGGGTGAAAGAAACTGGGAATTGGGGTAAGGTAAAACTTACGTGTGGAGGTGGGAAGAAATGAGGGGGATAAGAAGACTTTCAGAGGCACATGGGGTGAAAAACTGGCAAGCAAGTAGTCTTCTCTTAGCAGGGGTTCATAATTTTATTTTTATTTTATTAAAACATTTTTATATTAAAATAAAATATAATCCTTCTGAGTCTGTGGATGGATTGTAATTTTGACAGTGTGGGGGGGCGGGGGCCCGATAGAAAGTGGCTGCCATGAAAGGGCTGCTTCCATTCATAAAATGGCTGCCCTGGTGCGCCTCTGAATCAGCATCCCCCCCTCCGCAATGGGGGGGGTCATTAATGATGCCTCCTGTGCCAGCATCTGCTTAATTTGAAGAAAGTGGAATTACAGAGCTCCATGTTACAAGGAAGTAGCCATAGCAAAGAGTTTTCCAGAAGCGGTGATCAGGCCTTTTGTCTCTTACCCTGTAGTGATGGGCCTCATCAGCTGTTTCCCTGGCGGGAGCCTGAGGATCCCTGCAGTGGGGCACTGCTGTTGGAATGGCCTTGCTGGGCAAGTGTGTGATCGCTGATGCTGTGGACTTTCTTGTGTTTGTCCATGCGACCCGTGAGACAAAGTTGTGAGTCAGTGGCTCACCTGGTCAGCGTCATGGTCAGTGGGGAGCAGAAACCGGGTCTCTGGTGTCATGCACACTGGCATTGCTATTATTTATTTCATTTCTGTACTGCCCCACAACCAGAGCTCTCTGAGCAGTTTATGCAGTCCATAAAACAGATGATAAAAGTACAATAAAATATCAGAAAAGCAGAAAAAAGGTTCAAATCAACTAAAAACCGTGAATAAAAACAGACAATAACAAGGAATAACAAAGGGCAGGGGGAGAAAGACTGTAGCATCTTGTGATCCACCCCCAGCCCCTGAGTAGCTGAATAGGTCTTTAAAAGCCTCAGAATAGAGGGTTGTCTTCACTGAAAAGATGAAAGATTGGGCACCAGCTAGGCTGCAGTGGGGAGGTCATTCTGTAGATGGCGGGGGGCACTAAGAAAGCCATCATCTGGACTCTCTTGGAATTGGTGCTTGGCAGAAGGCACCAGAGTTTGAACATCGTGTCTGGGTGGATCATAGCGGGTGGAGGCGCTCCAACAGGTATTGTGGTCCTAAGCCACACTACTAGCTTCCGTAACAGTATTGTTGGTGTAAGCATGAGGACAGAATTGGCAGCACTGTCACGAAGTCTGGCAGGATTCTGCTGTTCGCATCAGTTGGAACGCCTGCTTGAACCGTGGCGCTTGGTCTTTCACAGGCCTCGAATGTTAGGCCTTTGCTTACGCACAGACAAGGGCAAACAGCAACGGATGGGCATGCCGTTTTTAGTTTAACCTTTAATGTATCTTCTGAAAATTGCAAAACAGTTTGCATTTGTAAACACTTATTGTGTACTTTAAACCTTGTTTGTAGATTGTGTTACAAATGTGTAGGCAGTACTTCTTAGAAACATTCATTTTTCTCTCTTTAAGGAACAACGGAAGAAAGAAAAGCTAGAGAAAAAGAAAGAGATATTAAATGCTTCGACGGTAAAATAATTTTTGAAAACTTGATAAATGTAGATTGTGGCAAAAATGTTTACTCGTCTTTGTGGTGATAATGTTGTATACAGTGGGACCTCGGCTCATGAACTTAATCCGTTCCAGGACTCTGGGCGTGACCCAAATTGGTTGTGAGCCTAGTTAAATTTCCCCATAAGGGTCAATGCAGATAAGGTTAATCCATTCTGTAACTATTTTTTTTTAATCCGAAAAATGTGAAAAAGCAAAGTGGCAAAGAACAACGAAGATCGCGGCCATCTCCCCACGATTTTGACCCGAGTCAAAATTTTTATGAAATTTTTGTTCGCGACCCGATTTGGCTGTGAACTGAGGCGTTCATTAGCCGAGGTACCCCTGTATTTTGGTTGGGATCCAACATCCCTGTGTAAGAACAGAAAGCACTTCTGCTCATCCAAGTGTGTGCATTTTCTTCCTTGTGGTAGTTCCTTGTGCTGATGGAATTTCCCTCTGATTTTTTTTCTTGGCTTGCAGTTGGAGGCAGGGAGCTGAAAAATGTCCCTGCAGGAATGAATCCAGTGAAACAGATTCATGAGCACAGAACAGCTTTTTCTGGGCGGTGTGGGGGCAGGGGATTTTCAAAAGCTGCTTTTTCTTGGGGAAAAGATGCACTGGTCTCAGGGGCAGGTTTAGACAGAGCTTTGGCGATGTTGGTGGGGGACTTTGCCTGAGAAAGGGTGGGGGCTGGTGGATGAAACCCTGCTGACACTCCTGGATGTCTGAGCAAGCAGCCTGAAGGCCCACTGACTGCTGCTACCCTTCTGGAATGACTGGGCAGCGGTGTGGGTTTTGCTGGGCTTGGCTTTGCTTCTGGATTCCAAGAGGGTTGCTGCGGCCTGAATGGGTCCATCTAGCATGATCTGTTGCAGCTCCGAGGCAGAGATCCTGCTCGGCCATCCCTGCTTTGGCGATTTCCTGCCTGAGTTACTGTTGTGTGCAAGGCTTTCTCTTGCAGGCAGGCAGTCTGAGAACTTGAGCTGGCGCAGAATACTGCAGGTGTGGACTGACACTCTCCCACTGGTCACCAGTTCTGAAACATTTGTCCTAGCAGATTGTTTCTTTCTGGGTTCTGCTGGTACTCATCTTTCTAAAACCTTGGCATGGCTTGGAGCACAGTTATCTCAAATAATAGCTCATCCTGTATGAAGCCCCATCCCATCCCCATATTGCAATGCAGCATGCTGTTTTGGGATGGTGGCTGCTTTATTTTTTTAGTGGGTTTATTATTTTACTTGTACACTGTGGATGCTATTTATTGAGTTTAATTTCTGAAACACTGTGATTTCTGTGTAAATAACAATATTTACTTTAAAATATTTATATGAATGAGAAGTTCCTGTGTGTATAGAAAAGCATTTTTGCAAGTATATATTTTCTAGTTTCTAATCATTGTGCAATAGAGTCACCTTGAGAAAGTATTTTGAAATAGTTTGTTCTTAGGATTCTTCGAATTGTTTTAGAAAAATTTATAATGTTCTAAAATGCTTGAGAATAGTTTTTCATGGTTATAGTTTTACTTATCAGTATATACAAAAATGAAAGTAAATGCTTTTGTATTCATTTCTTTTTTTAGAATGAAAAACAAACTACTGGGAAAGATGGCAAACAGGGTGAGTCTTCTCAGTTTTGGAAAACTAAGATACTAGAAAGTTTGGCTGCTGATACCACCATTCAATTTTTTTGCAGTTACGAAAAAGAAGAGAGCCAGAGAAGACAGAACATACAACATTTCTGATGTCATATCGAAAGAGGTAAATCCTAAGGGCACCAAGGCACCCTCTGCGCAACGATTGGGCCCAAGGATACCTAGTGAGCAAGGGAGGGATTTAGTCTCCGATTGACCTGCTGTAAGGTTGACTCCCCACAACACTGTTTCAGTTCAGGTGACATAATATATTTACAGTATTTATTTTAAGGTTTAGATGAGTCAAAAGAGGAGCTGTATTATCACCAAAGACAACTGAAAAAGTTAAACAGGCAGGTATTAATTGCACCTGTTTTAATGGAAGGTACCACGCCTGATGTATTCTGAGTTCTGGTGCTGTAAGCCATGGGTCCTCAAACTACGGCCCGCCGTGGCCATCCATCCGGCCCGCGCTGCCGTTCGCGCACACGCTTGCTGTGCGGGTGGGGAGGGGTTGGCTCGCTCCCTCGCTCGGAGATGGTCTCCAAGTGAGCAAGCCGCCTCCGCCTGGCTCCCTGACGCGTGCTCACCACTGCCTCACAGCGCAGGCGGGGTGGTGGCGGCTCACTCCCTCACTCGGAGATGGTTTTGGACTCGCTGGGAGATCTCTGGCAGGTGAGCCACCGCCCCACGTGCCCGACGCCGCCTCGCACGCCCTCGACAGACGGCACCTCAATGAAACATGAAAGGTCCCGCTCCCCGTTTGCTCGGGGGCTCGTGTAAGCGTGCGGACAGGCAGGGCTTATCTCTCTTCAGCCCCCGCTCCGTACCTTGTGACACGCCCTGAGCTTACACAACCTGAATTCAGCGGAGACAACATGGCTGAATGGAAAAGGTAGATGTGAATGGGGCGCTTCTCCTTTGGACAAAGGGGGACCTCCAGGGGAATGCGACTCCTCTTGGATTCTGAAAGCAGAACTTGTGATAAGCAGCTTTCAGAATCACCTGTGGAAGCGTGAAGGAGAGGATCACATGCAGAGTTCTCATTCTGCCCTCATGGACTGCCCCCCTCTTTCTGGATGGTGAATGCAGAGGGGGTGCCCGGTGAAGTGATGTGTGGCTTCCTGTGACTCCCGGACAAACTGGAAAGGGTTCAGAGGGAGGCAGCAAGGGTGATCCAGCAAAGGAAGCCCCTTTGACGAGAGACTGAGAGAACAGCTTGGAAAAGAGAAGGCTGAGGGGAGATAGGAGAGCCCCCTACAAGCACTTGAAAGGTACATGGCGGAAGGCCAGAATCTCTTCTCCGTCATCCCAGAGTGGAGGACATGGCATTCAGCAAGCCATATTCCTGCTGAATTTGGCAGTACAACAATGGAGAGGCATGACCTGGAGAAGCGGTGGGCCCTCCCACCCTGGGGGCTGTCAAGATGCAGCTGGACAGCCCTCTGAGAAGGGTTGGTTTCACTTGGAGTCCCGGCCTGAGCAGGGGGTTGGTCCTGATGGCCTTCTGGCCCCTTCCAGCCCTTCTTTTCCATGATTCTGTGTCATGACTGAACACAGAGATGCAGGGTGAAGGACACATCCAGTCTGGCTAGATGTGGCACTGGCGTGACTGGGCGGCAGTCAGTCTTCCGCAGCGCTGCCCACCGCGGTAGGTACTCCTGGTCTCGGTAATGCAGCTTGGAGGTGGGTGGTCTGCATGGAAGGCACGCCTCTTGGTCCAGGTCTCGGTGTTCGCTGCAAAATGGTTTACTCTGTCAGTTCCATCTTTCTTGCCGTCTTGCAGTAGACATTTGTTTTCCATTCTTCTTCCCCATACTCCATATCTTGGCTGCACTTTAATGCAAATGCATTTTTGTGATACCAGATAGGGACCCAGTACCCTTTAAGAAGACATACAATGTGACATAAACATTGTATAGCACCCACATTCAGTTTGCTTCTGGCTGTATGCATACTCCTGTGGGATAAATATTTTAAACTTCGATGCTCAGAGTGGTTTAACATGTATAGATTTACTGTCCAAATTAATAGTCCTCATGTTAGGTAAAGTCCAGTGCACTTCCGTATCATTCTGCTCCTTATGCTAGACTCTTCATGCTATCCTTCCTGTTGTTGTTAGTTTCATTTAAAGTTATTAATAGGACATTTCATTTTTGCACTTTCTTTTTGGTAGGAAATCTTGTCAGCAGCAAAAAAAAGCAAAGTGGAAAATGATCAGGTATACAGTTTTGTTTAAATTCTGTTTTTTAAATCTTGATTTCATGGGAAATACTCTTTTCTGTTCAGGACCTGCTGTTCTTGTATTTGAGTTTGTGATAAGAAATTTCTAAAGTTTCTTTTAATAACTGTCGAGTGATTTTCAAATAACTTTTGATTCTAAGTATTTCATAAATCATTTGGAATTAAATAATGCTACTTGAATATAGCAGTAAGATTCCTGGCCACTTTGTTCTAATGATTGGATATGGAGTATGATTCTTATTTACTCAGTAAAAGTGTAAAGCGAATTTACTTGAATAAAGGATATCTCCTGTGAGTCTACTACCTGCCTTGGATGCCCCGGTTAAAAAAAAAGAAGCAGCAGCATTTCATGCAGTCACCATTGTGAGGATGTGGAGGAGAAAAGGTGCACCTCGTGGAGGGTTGCATGCAACTGAAGCGAGCGAGTATTTATTCAGTAACACTGGATCAGAAGCTGCATTCAGACAACAGGCATTTCTGCATTTGTCTGAAGTGTGACATTGTTGGGAGCCACGTGCGTCTGCACAGCCTTAGGCAGCATGTTTTGCACGTGTGTGTGGCCACCACTTCTGGTGATGGCGTCAGGCATTGGTGGAGGCAAAGCACTTGCTCCCTGTGGCATTCTGGTACGGTCAGATGCACAGCACCCGATAAAACTGCGAGAAAGGCGGCAGCATGGGCTGGAAACAATGCAATATCGGATAAAACCAAAGTAAAACCAGAAGAAATTAAAGTAATGAAAAAGTTCTCATATGTTAACAAAGTGCCCGGGAGAAGGAAAAAGGCTTCACCCAGCACTGAAAAATGCGGTTGGAGCCCCAGGTGGGTCTCTGGGCATTCCTTCTCTTGCAGGTGCCTGTCTTGCCTCACTGGCGGGGCATCTCGGAGCAGGCTGTTTGAAGACGACCTTGTTTAAAAAACAAATCTGATTCAGTGTTACTGAATGAATATGTATTTGTTTCATTTTTATTCCACCTTTCCTCCACAAAATCAAAGTGATGTACCTGTTTCTCCCTCCCTCCTCCCCTCCCCAAAAGACTCCTGCTGAGGCAAGATTATAACGGTTTGAAGGGCACCTGGCAAGGTTTGTGACTGAGCTGGGATTTGGACCTGGGACTTTGTACTCCTGGGTGGACATTTTGCTTACAAGACTACAAAGGTGGTCACAGTGACTAGAAACTGCCCTTTCACCCACTGAGTAAAAACTGTGCAGTTGGCTTCGGTAGGGGCCTTTTTGCCTGCATTTGCCCATGAGTTCCTGCGTTTCTGGAGAGTCGTCATGGTACTATGACCACGTGCTGGGTCTTGGGAGACCCTGGTTTTAGTCGTCCTGGAGTACACTGGCTGACAACTCCGTGGCTCTCTCGCAGGGTTGTGATGATAAAATGGAGAGGATTAAGTTGCTCCAAGCCATCTTGAATTTCTCTCCTTTTTCCTTGAGAGGCAAAAAGGCATAATACTGTTCCCATTCCCCAAGCAGCTGCAAAACCAATGCTCCAGAACGGGCTTGTCGGCCAGGTTACATGGTGTTCTGCCATCAGCCTGACATACATGGAAGCTTTATAAGGGCCCGTGGCAGCAAGTATCTTTCATATGTTACAGTTTTGGGCAGCATTTTTAACAGCATAGCTGCGAATGTGGCCTTTTTGAAAGGATACAAAATGGCGCATCTTTGGTGGTTGTCTGGTGTAGTCACAGGAGTGCCTGGCACGGGGCTTTTGTTTGTTTTTTTGGCTGAATACACGGAATTCAATTATCTTCCACTCGAGGTGAACTGCAGGGCTTGCTTTTGCAAAGCAGATTGACTCTGCCAAGCCTAGCCTTCAGCTTTGTGTTAGTTGATAAAAGAGCGGAATCCTGAGGGCCTTGCAGGCGTGTTTACTAAATCATTTACTTTTTCCTGCAGATTGGAAGCTCTCCTCCAAAGCTGTGTTCAGATGGCCTGCAGAGCAATGGGGACTCGAATACAATGATTAAAGACAGATTGGCCCAGGCAGTGCGCCATGGCGCCAAGCACTTTATTGACCCCGTACGAAAATTTAATGGGCAGCCGATACCTTTTCAGCAACCGAAGCTCTTCACTGGGGGCGTAATGAGGTGGTACCAGGTTGAAGGCATGGAATGGCTCAGGGTATGAACTGACACTCCACTGATACCTTGTTCGTCTCACTAAAGAAGCATAGAAACGATGTGCATGTGTTGAATTGAATGGCCACCCCTTGCTGTTAGCAAGTACATGGACATGCATTTCAAACGGGGTCGGAATATCTGGTGCAAGAGCTCCAGCCGTTTCTGTACGGTAAAACTCCGCCCGGCTTCCCGCTTCTGGCAAAAGTGCGGTTCAGCGGTTGAAGCAGCCCATGATGCTTAACCGGTGCGATGCCCAAACTGATGTGCCTGGTTGCAGAGGCTCCGTTTCCAGCGGCCGCTGCACCAGGGAACTTGCATACTGAGCCAGCAGAGAGTGAGAGCTGATAAACTGCTCTAATCCACAGTTAGCCTGTACACTTGAAGCTCAAACAATTTATGGTAATGCATTACTAATATTGCTGTTAATCAAGTAAGAGTTTTACAAATAGGACCACTCTGCATAAATTATGTTATATATCGATGGATTTCGGTCTCAGTGGGTATCTAAAGCATATGCATAGACAGCTTTTCTTTCTTTCAGATGCTGTGGGAAAATGGCATCAACGGCATCTTGGCAGATGAAATGGGCTTAGGAAAGACAATCCAGTGCATTGCAACAGTAGCCTTGATGGTGGAAAGGGGAGTTGCCGGGCCATTCCTCATCTGTGGGCCCCTCTCTACACTCCCTAACTGGGTGGCAGAATTCAAAAGATTTACTCCTGAGGTAAAATAGCTTTAGAATGATAAAAAGGACTGTTTTCAAGGGGTGGGTGGCCTTTTGTGATGACTGATGACTCCTGTCTGATCTATTATTATTCCATTGCATTTCTATCCTGCCATTTTCCCCCTTGTGAGGAACCCAAGTTGGTTTCCACTGCCCTTCTGCACCCCATTTTAGGAAGTACAGAATTTCCAGAGGTTTCTGCAACCTCTGCTCAGAGAAAAATCCTCCATTTTTGTCCTTCCGAGGAGCTAACAAGGTTGGCAGTACTGTCCTGAGGTATGAATATTCTTAGACACACCCGTTCCCTTGGAGAGAGTTCATAAGGTCAGGCTTCCAAGTGAGACAAGAGAGATATGGTGTGTGTCTTTCAAGTGCAGTGGCTTGCACCCTTATTTAAAGGTACTGCCATAGAGCCATTCCTTTTTAAGTGCCAGTACCGTAAAATGCAGAAGGATAGATTTCATGACTGCTTAAGTCCCTATCAAACAACCCCTGTTTAGCCTCTTCAGACACCTATTTGAAAAGAATCCCCAAATTTCACAGTTGTCAAAAAGAGTTGTTCCCATAAATGATACAGACTGCACTTTTCCATTTTCTGAAACACCCAGGAAGGGGCAGAAAAGATGGGAAACACTGAAAACTGTCTGGCTCAAACTTAAAATTGAGAGATTCTTACTGCAGCGGGAGTGAGGTAATCACCACCACCTTTTTGCAAGCCAAGATGTTCTCATGGGTTTGCTTTGTGCTTAACACCTCAACTTTTGGCAAGACATGGGACCATGCGGCGCTTTGCACGTCAAGTGGCCAGGGTTGCCGCAGAAGAATCTCCTTTTGGACAGTCCTTGGAAGATAAAACTGAAAGACAATGCTTTTTCTTGAATAAGAGAAACCATATTTGAAACCATCCGAATAGTCCCTTGTGTCCCTATTTAAGCAGCAGCAAGGCATGAGTGTAATGTAAGGATACTCGTAATAAGCCTGGATAAGAACCAACCGCAGGGTAGAAGCGGGCTTGAGCCTCCCGCATGGCGTCCTTCTCTTGGAGGGAATATGCAGTGAGACACCATGGAGCTCCCCGGCACATTCCGGGCGAGGGCTGGGCAACCGGCTTCATTGCAGCTGGCTGCGTGCAGATGCAAGCCACAGTTAATGCAAGTCTACCTTAAACCATGAATTCCTGTCTTGATTCGGCCAGTTCATGGCTAAGCATTAATTCTTGGTTGTCCGTTAACAATTAATTGAAAAATCAATTGTTTTTGCTCATAATTCTTTGTTAGATTTGCATGTGAGTTGTGCTGCATTCTTATTTTTTAATTAGGTTCCTATAATGCTGTACCACGGGACCCAGCAAGAACGGCGTGTGTTGATTCATAAAATCCGGAGGAGAGAAGGTTCCCTGAATGTCCATCCTGTGGTCATTACCTCTTTTGAAATAGTGATGAGAGACAGAAATTCCCTGCAGGTTTGTAAGGAAATGTTATCCCCTCGGCATGGTTACTCGTGGTCCTTCATAAAGCCAAAGTGACACTTTGTGCAACGCCACAGCGTGAGTGCACAGATTAAAACGGTGATGTTAAATGTTATCAGTTGACAGTAATTGAACACTGCTTCAAAAAAGCCAATCCAAATAAAAATTTGAAATAAGAAAGATGCCTTAAAGAGGAATCCTATGGCTGGCCAGGCAGCGCTAGGCGGGCCATGGAATGCTCTGGATTCCCAGATGAAAGCTCTGCATCAAGCTGTGGCCTCTCCTGCTTGCAGAGCAGGAGGAGCGGAGCTGAAGACGTCCTTCGTGCTTCCCCAGCTCTGCCCTGGATGCTCATCAGTGTCTCCGTCCAGAGGCTTGTGAGCACTAAAGGTGCTCTTTGACTCACAGCTGTGAGAATCTGTTAGTGGAATCTGCTGTGATAACTATGCAGTACTGCTTAGAGTGGCATGCGTGTTCTGCTGAGGATGTATCATTTTAACCTTGTTGCTGTAAGTGGTCGCTAAAACGATTCCTAGGAATCTTCCATTTGTTATCAGGAAGCTGTGCATTCTAAGGCCATGGGTAAATTTAGCTTTGGTAAAAAGAATGTGAGGCAGTAGGACAAGCTTAGTTGTCAATTTTATGAGAGGTTATGCATTCTTTCTTAGGTCATGGAAATCTCTTAATGCTATTTTTGGTGCCTGGTTGTGTAACGAAGTGGCCACACACAGACTAAGGATCTGTGTGCAGATTTGTGTGCACGTGTGAACAGGTGCATGCGAGAGATAGGAATGACACCTTAAGTAATGTTTAAGAACTGCCGATAGTACAAGGGCAGGCCGATACACCCGGTCCCTTTGCAAAAACTCAGGCGTTCCCCAGGCCGTGCTGTTATTTGGTAGATCTCTTTAATGATCATCAAGAGTGCAAGAAGCGGCTTGAAAAGCAACAGGGCCCACAGCAGCCTTTCCCAGCACAGCCCCCTTTGGGTGTTCCGGACTGTATGTCCCATCATCACCAGCCAGGATGTCCCATGGCCAGGGATGACGGGAGTTATATTTGGCTGTTAGCAGGGTAGGAAAGGCTGGCTTATTTGCCAGTGTGTAAAAAAAAGCAGTGATGTGGCCTACCCTAAATCAGGGGGGCGCCTCCTATAAGAAGCTCAAGTACAAAATGGTCATTTTCCAGTCAGTTAAATGGGCGAGTTGGTAGAATTGAACCCGTGTGAATTAATGGACTTCTGGTTTGGGTTTTTGAAATAACTGGGAACTTCTCTACCCTAGAACTTCTATTGGAAATACTTGATTGTGGATGAAGGACACAGGATTAAGAATATGAATTGTCGCCTTATTCGGGAGTTAAAGCGGTTTAATACTGACAATAAACTTCTATTAACTGGAACTCCGTTGCAAAACAACTTATCCGAGCTTTGGTCGCTGCTTAATTTCCTTCTTCCTGATGTGTTTGATGACTTGAAAAGGTGAGCAGTGATCAGTGGCTATTCTGTACAGGCGGTGTCTGATGCCACAGATGTGTCAGTCCCAGCCTTTGACCGCTGGAAAGCACGTGCCACAGCCGCCCTCAACAGAGGGCAGCACCCTTGCACGGTATACCCTTCCGTTCCCTCCAGCACAGCCGCGCCATTAGCTGTCATCTCGCGTCCCTTTTCCTGTGCGGGAAGTCCCTTCCAGCGCTGCCTGCCCCTGTCCGGTGGCGTGCTGTCACGTGGAGCAAAGTTCCTGCCCACCCGTCCTTGGGTGCCTCCTGAGTAGGCCACGCCCTGGGAAGAGGCCCCTCGCAAGGCAGAGTCTCTTCCTCCAGCAAGCGGCGTTTGTCTGTGATCCTGGGATAGTGCTTTACCAGCACCAAACCGCAGCAGGGTGCGAGTGACCCTCCAGCCATGAGGGTGCGTGCAAGGAGGACACCGTGGTGCTCCCTTCCCCCCACCATGCAGAAGGAGACGTCCTCCACCCCAGGATCCTGACAAAAGACCTGCACTGTGGTGGAGTAGGATCCCACTGCGGATCTCAACAGATGCAGGGACTGTTTGAGCAACAGAATAGGTCACCCCGGATAGCATGTCAGTCTTCTCCAAGCCTCACGTTCTTTGGCCACACCTAGGTCCAAGGAAGAGCGGCTCTGTATGTGGAGGTGAACTCTCCCTGCCTGTTAAGGAAAAGGGCCCGGTCCTCCTCTTGCAGCCGTGGGTCTTGAGACAGCTTTGATTGGGGTGGGGCATAGACCACCCTCCCAGGTATTTCTGGACTGCAGCCTGCTTTGTTCCTTGACCACTGGCCATGCCAGCTTGGGGCTCAGGGCCCCACGGCACACCTGGGATCCCCAGACGAAGCAGCCGAGCCTCATTGCCTGTCCTCGGGAATGAGGGAGGATGTGACTCAGGCTGCCGGCCAGTGGCCCCTCTACCTGCACTGGCGTCACTCACTTGAGTGGTGGTGGCCTGCGTGGGCTCCATCCCTTGGGACAGGTTGCGTGCCCGTCCTCGCACGATCTCCTCCTCTTCGTGTACCATCCCGGTTACTTCCCAGTCTGTTGCATCCCAGGCAGGCCTTGCACAGCCGAGTCAAGGTCAGCAAGGCGGCCCACCCCAGGGCAGCACTTTCTGCCTACCCCCCAGTCCGGGAGATCCTCCCCTGCCTTTTCTTAATCAGGTGTTGGTCATCCAGTATCAGACGCCTCTGTGAGTGTTGTCTTGGCAGAACAATAGGGATAAAGGTAAAATACGATGTTCTTCAGCACAGAGATGAATAGACCCCGCGTAACCCGCAAGGCTGTGACCTCTTTCTGGTTTCTCCCGCAGCTTTGAGTCCTGGTTTGACATAACCAGCATTTCCGAGATCGCTGCAGATCTTGTCGCCAAGGAAAGGGAGCAGAACATCCTGCACATGCTGCACCAGGTCTCCGTTTTCATTGCATTCCCGTATTGGCAGTGCTTGTCCGCTGCACGTTCTGCTGTTCTTTGCAAGTATTGTGGTGCGTGACATTGATAAGCCCACTTGGACGCATGTGCGCGCGCATGCTGTGCCCGGGCACGCGCCTGGCCCACTCCGTGTCGCCGCATGCCTTGCTTGGGTATTTCCAGGGAGCAGCATATCTTCACAAAACGGGGGGTGGGTAATCTCTACCCGAACACTTGCTGCCGCGTCAGCTAGGCATCAGCCACCGTCTGGCCAGTGGGGCGTGGGCGGAAGCACCTTCCGCAGGACGGGGTGTGCGGTTCGCATCTAAAGGCAGAGGAGGGCTTCCCAAGGAGTCGCTGTATTAGTCTGTTGCAGCAAAAGCTGTGCAGACCGATACCTTTATTACGGCATAAGACATACTCCACAGAGTTGGAATAGGAAAGTCATCGTAAGCCTGTACAAACAGGTCTAGCTGCTTCTGCATTTGGCGGACTATTCTGATTGTGGACACACTGTTTTTTGCTTTAGTATGGCTTCTTAGATTATTAAAGTTATATTCTGATTTATTTTTTGTAAAATCTTTTCAAAAGTGGAAATACTTGCCTTCTGAGGAAGATTTTTGTGTAGAGCGTCTCCGGTACCTACTTCAAGTAGGACCAGCATTGGGTTTAGCACTCAATTTCACATATAAGTGATCTGGCCAAAGCCCTCCTTGCTATCAACATGTCTTGCAGTACTCAAAATTACAGGACGCCCAGCAGAATGAAGGAGAGACAGAACTGCACGCAGTATATCCTCGGTGTTCGAACGTATTATCTTGGCAGTGGACAGAGTTACTTTGCTTGAGCTCAAGTTGTTAGAATTTTTTTTAATTTAAACTCTAGATTTTGACCCCTTTCTTACTGAGAAGACTGAAATCAGATGTGGCTATGGAGGTTCCTCCTAAGCGTGAAGTCGTGGTCTATGCGCCCCTTGTGAAGAAGCAAGAAACCTTCTACAGCGCCATCGTGAACAAGACCATCCAGAAGCTGCTGGGCAATAACCAGGTACCTGACGCAGGCGGCTTCCTCATGCTAAATCGTTTTCACTCTCGTTTCTGCAAGTACCCATATGAGCAGCGCTTGTGTGCGCAGTAAGAACTGCAGGGGCCACTTTTGCCGTGGGGCTCAGTGTGGGCATCCACTGAAAGCATGCTTGACGGCCGGCCGGCCGAACCTGCTCGAGCACCTCTGTAACAGAGTCCCGTATCCCTAGGGCCTAGGCCACTGGTTCCGTTGACGGCTTGGATCGGTAGGAAGTTGTCCTTCCGTTCAACTGAATTACGCCTTCCAGTAACTAAAGCCTGTTGTTAATAGTGCTATTCATGTTGATAATCAGGAGCAGCTTGTAGCTGTCTTCTGAATTGCAACTCTTTATGCACTTGAAAAATGTGATTCCTTCCTTAAGGCTTTTTAGGTGGTTAAACACACCCAATTCCTCTAATCTTTTCTCATTTGAAGAGGAGAGACTGAGGGAACTGGGCATGTTCAGCCTTGAGAAGACTGAGGGGGACAAGGTATCCCTCTAGAAGTCCCTCAAAGGCTGTCCCAAAGAGGAAGGTCTAGGTCTCTTCTTGCTGATGCCGGAGTGCAAGACACGGAACAATGCATTCAAGTTGCGACAACCCAGATTCAGGCTGGGCATCAGGAGAAACTGATGCCTGTGCATCTCCCAAACAGTGCAGAGCCCCTTGGGGAGTTTTACCAGCCACGAGTGTTTTGGCGGGAACTGCTCCCTCACCCCAGCCCCTTGTGCAGAAGCAGAGGAGCTGCTGCAAGTCACTTGTCCGTTACCACCACCACCACCACTTCAAATTTAAATGGATCTGTTCATTAATTTTATGTAAATTTGTGGTGGTGAAGGGTCGGACACGACTTCACAACTAGCAAGCAAATTCATTAATTCCCCACTATTCCCAGTGATCTCATAGTCCGTTTTATAATGTGTTTTGTTTTTTGTACAATTTTTGTAAGGCTCTGTAAGAGTCTTCAGCTCCTCAGCCCATTTTGTGCACATGTTTTTCATAAAAAGTCAAAGTTATGCATGTTGTGTTTATCACGTGAGCTGTGTGAAACTGTCAGCACGCTTTTACGAGGTGACTAAACAGAACTAGAAATAACATTGCTGGTATCACTGGACTTGCTTATATGCGTAGTAACGTACACTCTTTTCATAACTGTTCTGTTCCTGCTGGGTCATGAGAAAGGGTGACCGGTGTGGGTGCTCTCCCATTTTATAGGAAGAAGTTGTTGAGCTGAGCTGTACAGGTCGGCCAAAGCGACGCAGTCGGAAGGTGATTAGTTACCGTGAACTTGGTGAGAATGATTTCCCTGACAGACTCGAAGAACTGATCAGTAAAATGCAAGAGGAAGTTGAAAAAGAGAGGTAGTTATCTAAAGATGGCTTGTGTCATTTCAGAAATCTCTTTGCACCAAAAGGAGCAGCATTTGTAAATGGCTTGTAGTAGAAGCTTTGGAGTTGAATTAGTTCTTTCGATATATAATATCTAGCCATGTACAAAAGAGACACCTCCAACACTGCCTGTATTAAACTAGCAATTTTAGGAAGTATGCCATGAGGTGCAATTATATTAGCTGGATTTTACCTTTCCCTTGATTCTGTCATACTGACAATCTTACCTGTTCTTTGCAAGGCCAGTGATAGAAATGAACGTCCCTTTGGATTCCGAAATCAACCTGAAAATGCAGAACATTATGATGTTGCTGAGGAAGTGCTGCAATCACCCGTACCTTATCGAGTACCCGCTGGACTCTGCTACGCAGCAGTTTAAGGTACGCACTTTCCGTCGCAGTCTCGTATCTAGGTGGAACCCTTTCATTTGGTGGGAGAAAATCCATATTTCAGTGGGCATCATTTCATACAACCAGTTAGCAGTGAATGGATACAGTACTCGTGATGCTGAAAATACGATACTGGCCAGATGCTAAATCCAAGCCATAGTTGCATTTTCTCAGTGACTGTTCCTAGGATGATGCGTGGGGGCAGCTTGTGTGGCTCTTTTGACCTGCTAAATTAGTCCACTCGTTGCCGCTCCCACCTGCGCCAGGCCGGCTAGCACTGGCTCGGCCCCTCAGGACCAAGAAGGCAGACCTCGATCTGCACTTCCCAGAGCAGGCGGGGACTTCCCAGAGGCGCCAGCTTTTCGTCCTGTCTTCCTGCGTGAGCGACAGAGGGTCCTTGCTCTTGCACAGGAAGCGCAGCCCCCCCGCCCAGCCCCAGCTCAGCCAGGAGAAGAAGAAGGATCTGCCTCCCCACCCGCATCCTCTGCAGCAGAGCGTTCTGGCCCCGGGCTCAGGCCGCTACCGCAGCAGCAGGCATGTTGTGGATCAGGTTGCCTTCCAGAAGAGCCACCAGCCCGCGAGCGTCCCGCTGCTGCGGCACAGACAGTGTGCCAAGAGGCCGTGGAGTGGGCACGTCCCTTTGCATTCCTGCAGGCAAGCCAGAGGAGTGCCCGGGTGGCTGCTGAGACGCCACAGCACTTTGCTCTTGAATTGCGCCGGTCATGTCCAGCTTCCCCCATTTGGTGCAGCTGCTGGGCCCAAGGGGAATCGGCCCCTCCGCTGCCCAAAGCGTCTCATTTTGGGTGAAGTGCAAGGCATAAATCCAAGACAATTCCATGAGTTCATAAAAATGGCAGCAGGTTGTCTCCAGTTCAGCGCGCGCTCCAGTGGAACTCCATGCCCGGCTTTCCTCCTGTGAGCTCTGTGCTGGTCATGTAATATTTTGACCTTGTTGTTGTCGCTCTCCTCCTCCTCCTCAAATAAAGCAACGTCATGTCTTCAGAGAAACTTGTCACTGCCACCTTGGTACCTGATCAGGGTTGGGAAGTGGCATGTTCCATCCCTCTCTTGCCTGTGACACAGGGATTCCTGCCCTTTGGGCCTGAGGGAATGTGTCTGGCTTGCTGTCTGCTCGCTCTCTCTTCATCTGAAGGACCCAGGATGCCACGGCCTGACCACTAGGAAAGCCCCCAGGAACGTTCTTCCCGATACTGCGGGTTTAGAAATCTGAACATTATGGCGACCAGGTTGCTCCCCGGCTCATCAGGCCTGAGGCTGCTCTGCAGCAAAAGGCATGGCAGCAGAGGTCCCAAGGGGCCCGCTGCCCCTGCAATGCACAGGGCTCGAACTTTAGAGCCAGTTTAAGAAGGCCGCTGTCTGAAAATCTGGCTGTTTATTTATTACATTTATATACTGTTGTTCATTGTACACCAGTACATTGTTAGATGTCACCTTAGACAGGTTGTTGGTTTACGTAGCCTCCAAATTGCTCTTTATAGTGAATAGGAGAGGACAATCTCACCCTCAAGATGAAGCAGTTATCCTCATTCCAGAAGAGAACATTTCCCTCTGCTTAGAAACACTGAAGAAGGAAAAACCAAACACACGTGTTTCCAGTCTCAGGGGTTCAGTGGGCTCATCTTTCCACACATTGTTTAAATGGAAACCAGGAAAAACAAAGTAGAAGGATCTTAGTTCATTGTTTTCGGATGTCCAAACTTCTCAGCAGTGGCCTTGGCTTTAAGTTTGCTAGGTTGTCCTTCCGATTCCATTGCTTCAGTGTTTCTTACAGCTTTGTGCTTTTCAGTGTGCTTACACGATATTTTTAAAAACGTTGTGCATTTGTACATGATTTTCATTTGTGGTGGCTAAGGGGTTTCTTTGTGGCTCTTGGCTTGGTTTGAGAGCTGAGAAGAAGCCCTTCGCCCTTCGTATCATGCTTGCTCAAATGCATGTCAGGGAAGAGGACAGATGTATCGCATTTACATTCTAGTTTTCCACCAAGGAATCCAAGGTGGCATATATGAGTTGTTTTCTGCTCTCCACATCTCTGCGAGGTAGGTTAGGCTGAGAGTTTGTGAATGGCCAAAATTTAGCCAGTAATCTTTGCTCTAGGGGAGGGACTACAATCCAGGTCTTTCCCATCCTAGTCTATACTCTCCCTACTATGTCACATGGGAACTAGTTTTTTCTCCCCAGAACTAAACTCTGCCTGTCCCAACCCTTCAGAAATGCACAGTAAGTTCAGATTGTCCGTCTTAGTTGGACACTGATGAGCTACTGTTTAATAATATGATTTGGACTGAGGACATCAATACCAGAAGGACAATAAAAGCGAGTGTGTCAAGCCAGCACTTTCTTTTGCTGATTTAATATAACTCATTTTCTCAATTGTGTGTTTCTCACATCAAGGTTGACGAGGATCTAGTGAAGAGTTCCGGCAAATTTCTACTCCTGGATCGCATGCTCCCAGAACTGAAAAAGCGAGGACACAAGGTACTCTTCGTAGCTACAGCAAAAACCACTTGAGCACTGGAGTTAAGGTTGCTGAGCAATCCTTGTTCTGTGCAGGTGCTACTCTTCTCACAGATGACACGGATGCTGGATATTTTGATGGACTACTGCTACCTGAGGAAGTACCAGTTCAGTCGCCTAGATGGAACCATGTCCTATGCCGAGAGAGAAGAAAACGTGAGTAACTTCCCTTGGAGCCATCGGCTTAGTTCGCTGGGCTCACGTGAAGTTCTTTACGTATGCCATGAGCTGAGGGCTTAGTCACTAGCCTAGGACAAGGAAGGAAGGCAGCGAGAGGAACGTGGACGCTGCCACAGCATGGCGCCTCGGGCGAGCTATTAACCAGAAGTTCCCTATCTTGGGTATTCCTGGTGGCGTTGCCTCCCCAGGAGACAGGATCAGCCTCTTCTCCCCTCCCCTTTAATACAGGGAGAGTATTGGCCTGTGTTGAGATGTGCCGTGATACCTGGTATGTAAAGGGCTGTGTAACCACTGTGCATTACCCTGTCTGAACAGACTTGGGCTTCGAGATGTGTTGATTACCAGTTCAGGTGGGGGCTTTTCTGAGGAGAGCTGGTGTCTTGAACTCTATGCCCGTTGGGAGTTCCTCTGGTGGATTTTCGTTTGGTCAGGGTTCTAAAATGCACTGTTTCTGCATGTTTTCTGAATCTTCTCAGCCGCACAGTTAAGTTAAAGGGTGCTTCTTCAGCAAGCACGGGGGAATCTGTGGAGAAAGATGTGCTGAGGAGCGGTAGCTGAGATATTGGGAAGCGTTCACACGGCAGACTGCCAGTGTTGGCAGAACACGCGTTCTTTGCTCTGACTGGTGCTTGGAAGGGAGCCAAGACGGTGGAAGGTTAAATGCAGCTGACCCAGAGAATCCCGCTCCGCTCCCCATAGCTGTAAAGCAGGGAGGCACCTCATGGCGGAAGGTTGTCTTTCCTGTGGTGTGTTGCTTACAGTTTGCTTGGGGAAGGCGTCCTTTTATTCTCCCTGATGTCTCTGCCCTTTACAGATGCATAACTTCAACACAGATCCAGAGGTGTTTATCTTTCTGGTGAGCACGCGGTCTGGAGGTCTTGGCATTAATTTGACTGCTGCAGATACAGTCATCATCTATGACAGTGACTGGGTATGTTCTGCACATGGGTGCATTTACACTGGAATAGGCCCCGATCCCAAAGGGCTGTGTGCTGACTGCTGCGCACACGGAGCTCCGGAGTCCTCCAGTGAAAGGAGCCCCAGCCACTTCCTCCGGAGCTCTGGTGCAGTTTTAGATGTGTTTTTTCAGCATAGCATGAGGAGCACTTACCTGATGGGGAAAACACCAGCCACTGAACGATCAGTGCAGGGGAGGGAAATACTGAGCTTTCTCCATAAGAGCTGCAAGCGATCGCCAGTGTTTCTGAGTAGCTGGATGGCTTTGTGATTCCTGCCGCCTTTCGTCTTCTGACACAAGTCTTTGACAACAGCTCGCACTTTTTACTCTGGCGAAACTTGTATTTCTTGGAGAAAAAACCCAGAACATTCATCTGATACTACTTTTAGTTCCTGAGCAGCACAATTTCACTTACTGACTTAGTTCCACATCTTTTCTTTCCTTAGAACCCTCAGTCGGACCTTCAGGCCCAAGACCGGTGCCATAGAATTGGTCAGACAAAACCAGTTGTTGTCTATCGCTTTGTAACGGCAAACACCATTGACCAGAAGATTGTAGAGCGAGCTGCAGCCAAACGGAAGCTAGAGAAGCTAATTATCCACAAAAGTTAATAATAATGCCATTTTCCGTATAGTTCCATATTGAGTTTTTCCTTTGGGAAGCAATGAATTCCTCTCAACTGTTGATCGTTTTGTGGCTTTCCAAACTAGCAGGTGTTGCCTAACAGTGTTCTCACACCCTTATCGCAGAAGCTTTTATTTCTCATGGGTGTCCTTGCTCTGCGAACCATTAACCACACTCAGAGTTGTTCTCATAACCTTACTTCTTGCAGAGACACAAATCGTATGTTGGGGATGTGGAGCATGGGTGTGGAGCTTCTTCAGTCGGAGCCTGGAGGCCTTTCAAGTGCCTTCTGGTAGCTTTGCCTAGGCCGTTCAGTCGACCCTGTCAGGGCCAAGTTGGCCACTGCCCTGTGAAGCTGCCTCTTCAGCTGTCCGCTAAGAGCCCTGTTTGACCCCCCTGTGTGCCAGCTTAGCAGTGGATACGTTTGCCAGACGTGGCGCCCAGAAACGCCTAAGCTGAATTGAGGCGCACAAGATCTTTGGCCGTAAGGGCCACCCTGGGTGTCTGCATGCGCACACCTATCATCAGCGCGCGCCCCGGTTCACCCGTGGGCACATTGGTGGTACGGCTAGTTTGTGAGCACTCCAGAGAGTCCGGCTTGACTGCTGCGCCACTGCTGCTGTTAGCCCACTGCCACACTGGAGGGGAGGCGCCAGAAGGGGCACTGCAGTCGAAACCTAGACCGTTGTTCCTGCATTAATAGCCCGGACCATAGACAGGTAGGGAGGCATGTGCGGAGTGTGGAGCGTTTAGTGGAGTTAGTGAGGTTTCCTTCATGAAGTAGCTGGGGAGGAGAGTCATGAAGACGAGGCAGGGCGACTTGCCATGGTACTCCTGGCGGCAGCGATGCTGCTCATTTTGTTCCTACAGGCTTATCTAGCTAAGTTGTGGCAGAGATGCTTTCGTTCTGCAGTGACTATTTTTCCCCCTATGATATAAATCTGAACATGCATTCAAGCTTGTGCGTAACATATGGCATCGAAGGCCGTGTGAGAAATGCTTCAGGGAGCTCTGTGAAAGGCAGAGTGAGACAGGTCTGTAGGGCAGTGTGTTGACGAACATATTGTCGTTTGTGATACAGTCAGCTGCGCATGCATTGAGAGAATCAGTGGCAGAGCAGAGCAGCGATGCACTGAGTAAGATGTCTTTTTCTTGTGGCCTTTAAGATCAGTTTAAAGGTGGGAAATTTGGAGTAAACCAGTCGAAGAGCTGCTTGGACCCCAAGGAGTTAATGGAATTGCTGCGATCCAGGGACTACGACAGGTAGGCAAACAATTAATATAAAAAGAGCCTAATTCCTAAATAAGCATGAGACCACACCGAAATGTAAACCTTTGGATGACTAAGCTTCAGTCTGAAGCACATTTCCAGCAGAATGTCTGCTGAACATCGCTGGACTCTCTGGGCAGTTTTGGTTAGGGCTGAGCTTGTCTTTCTTTCTTCTCATAGAGAGATTAAAGGATCAAGAGAGAAAGTCATAAGTGACAAGGATTTAGAGTTACTCCTGGACAGAAGTGACCTTATCAGTAAGTACAGACGATGTTTGATTCAATCACATTTTTAAAAATGAAAAAAAACAAAACCCATAACTGGTTTTGGATTATATTCTGCCTCATTAATCCAGTACTTCAGGTAATTTAGTCCTCTGAATTGTGTTTTCCTTGTTTCTTCAAGACCAAATGAAAACCTCTAAGGAACTTAAAGAAGAAAGGGGAATATTCAAGATAGTAGAAAATTCTGAAGATCCAGAAAGCGAGTTTTGAAATCTGGCCAGCTTGCCCTTGTCACCTGAACACAGACAGCTTCATGGGAGTTACTGTATCTCTGTCTCAGAATTCAAACACTGGTTCCAAGCCCTGTTTTTCTCAAGAGATAAAAAAAATGTGACATGGCTAAGTATACATTTGAGGGCTTTTAGATCCTCTTTTTGATACCAGACATATTTTTTATATTTTTCCAGACTTTATATAGCAGCTAGCTATATAATTTGTACAGTTTTCTGTAGAAGTTCTGCAAAATACCTTTTTAAAAAGATATTTTGACTTCTTGCCTTTATTGTGGTTTTATTCAGACAGAGAAAAATGCTCTGTGCTTGTTTACAAACTCAAATTGTACGGCTTTACTTGTTGGTAACTTTACTAAATAAATTCTGTATGGTATTACGTTGAAAATCTGAATGTTTTGTAAAACAGCTGCATTTGGCAGGCATTGTCTGTTAGCAGTAGCAGTGTCTTCTGGAACTGCCATGGAGAATTAGATTGCCCAGCTTGAAAATATAAACCTGGTGGTGCGGAGTTTCTTCACCACGAGCCCTGTTGCTGTCGCCATTTTCCTGCCAGTATTTTTGTTTACCACACCTGTGGGTCTTTTATTTCTTCTTAAAGTTTGCTTTCGGTGTTGTCAGCAGTGGCCTGGAAGTATATCCGGCAGGAGACTGCCACTTTCTCCTCACATGTTTAACCTGAGTTTGTTGAAGAAGCCAATGTTCATTAATAGTGCAATCAGCTGCATGTTTTAGACAGAGAAAAAATGTACATGCTAGCCAGGGAATCCTGGGAGTTTTAAGAGTTCTGTCTAAGCATGATTGGATTGTGCTGTAAGGTAGGCAGAGGATTTTCTTTAAATTCTGACGCTCTGCTTATTTTAATTTTTCAAAATTGAATGTTGGCAAGTCATAGTTAATGAATTCTCTGGGCAATCCTATTACCTGGTGGTTTGGTTATGATCAGTCCATGCAGACAGATTTGTTCTCAAAGTCACCAAGATATTACATGCCATTTACTTGAAAAAGAAGGAATTGGTTGTTTAGTTCTTAGTTACATCCAGAAACAAGTTTGGCTAGTATTTTTCTTCTTGTTATACCCTCATAAAAATGAATGTTGCATCAAAAGAAAGTGCCAGTTATCATCCATTTTTCAACCTGTGTTGCAGAAAAAGTTGGACTTCAAATTATTTCATTACTAGAACACCCCATAGCTGAAGCTCACTGCAGCTTACAACAATGCATTAAACAAAACAATAAAATATATTACAAGTATCATAAAAACAAGACTTTAATGATAATTTAAAATTTATGCAAAATCCCTACAAAGCATAGGTTTTAAAAAAGAATCTCCTGGATAATCCCCGCAGGCCCCGGGAAGCCAAGTAGGTCTTCTAAGTAGGTCTCCACATAAAGGGCTGCCTTGGCCTGGTGATGCAGCCCGGCCAGCTTGGCACCAGGTGGGCTACCAAGACTGGGGGGAACCACAGACAGCCCTGCTCTGTTTTGCCACTCTGCTCGCCTCCCTTGGGGTTGGACTTTGAGGGGTGCCCCAGAGGCTGAACACAGCTGAGAGAGGCTTTATAGCGCGAAGCCTTGAATTAGACATGAGGGCAGCTGGTGCAGCTGCGGCAGAACCTGCCCTGTGCATTTTGACTCACGGGCTCCAGTTCTCAGCGTGGCTGCAGCTTCTGGGCCACCTTCAAAGGCAGCCCTGCACAGAGCGCAGGAGAAACCCGAAGCTACGGACCTGCTCCTTCAGGGGGGACCACCCCATCCCGAACAGGCCGAGCAGCCTCCACCTGCTTGAGAGAACGGCCACCAACCGCGTCTCAGTCTCGCCTGGACCGAGCTTGTTTGGTCGCCCGCAGCCAGCCCATTCTAGCAGCCAGGCACCAGACTGCCGTTGCAGTTCACCTTTCTCCTCCCCCCACCACCGCAATAACCTTTTGGGCCCTGCATTGGCAGCTAGTGGCAGCCCCTTCAGCTGGCACACTGTGGGGGTGTTGCCACGAGTCCATCGTCCCTCTTTCATTATAAAGTTAGGCGTGTGCACTCCAGCCTTTCCTGGAGGTTGTCTCCCGTCAGTGGATCAGAGAACCTCCATGCACATGGACTCAGAGAGGCTGCAAAGAGCTTTATCTATCTTTGAATGTTGTCTTTGGCCAGAGAAAGCAAAGTTTTGAATGGTCGCAGAACACAGCAGCCAGAAAAATCACTCCCTCTGCAGGAAGAACTTCTAGCTTCTGCTGGAGGTGACTCTTAACACCTTTCCCCCTTCTTTTGACAGCACTGCCCATGGGTGTCTGATAGGAGCATATTCATACACACCTATGTCCATATCCCCTTCTTTTAAGAGGCAGATCACTGCTTCGACAGCTAGCATGCAAAAGCTGCATGCTCCCCACTTTTGCACTTTTCCCTTTCCCTTGTGCCTACAATCGCCAGAAAGCATGGAAAAGGGTGAGGGCCCTGCCCCCCAGCCCCCTAATTCACCAGAGGATCTCTTCAAAGGGACTGATCTCCTGGCTCCCCCCACCCCCCAACACACACAAGCAGCAATCTCCTTGACAGAAACGCTTGAAAGGCACAGAGCTGTCTTAACAGGGCAATTACACGAAAACCAAACGGGAAACGGTCAGTCGGCGATTTGAGTCAAGCACTTTATTGAATAGGAACATAAGAAAAGTGTTGTGCTTTGGCATTACGGCATCCGATAGTGGCTGGCAGTCCTTTTGCGGAGGGAGGCAGCAAGAAAAGGGCTGTTTCCTTAGAGCTAGAAAAATCACCAACATGTCACTCTCTGTGGTATTCGGTGGCAAGTGGCAAGAAGCCTTCTGAGACTTCTGCACCGAGAATCCAGAGGTGGAGGCAGGCAGCGTTCTCCGGGACACGAGCGCTGCTGCTTCGGCTTAGTTTGGAAACACGGTGACCACTTCGTATCCTTCGGGAGGGGTGACCCGCTCGCGAGCGTGCTTCTCGCAGTAGATGGCCTCCTCCACAAAGAAGTGCCCCTTTTGCTTGAGGTTCGTGCCGCAGTCGCTGCAGACGTAGCACTCGGGGTGCAGCTGCTTGTCCCGGATCCTCACAAAGACGCCGCTGGGGAGAGGAAGGTGCCAGGGTCAAAGGGCAGGGAAGCCTCGGCCGCTGCGGCCACCCACCCTCCTTCATGCACGGCAAAGGTGCCATTTCCACTTCTTGCCATTTCCTGGCCATTTCCCCTTGAAACACTTTCGCTAACACGACTGAGGCCAAATGCCCGTTTAGCAGATGGGGCTTTTTGATGCCGCCTTAGGGGGTGCAAGAGGGTGGGGTGGGGGCACAGCCTTCGGAGCTGTGCCAGAGGTTGCAGGACCTCTGCATGGCCCCAGATGCTGTGGGGAGGCCCGCCAGATGGCCCCCTTGAGCACAAGCAAAGAAACAGCAACCTAAGTTCTAGCTTTTAGATCTTTAGATCTATGGAACTGTTTAAATTTTTAATTTATAAATTGGATATGTTATTAGCATTCATTTCTTTTAAAACGAAACTGCTGAATGCTTTGCTTCCTTGTAGTTCTTAAACAGCTACAAGGAACAGGAGAGAATGCCTGGGGTAAAAGTGCATTCTTTAAAGCCATGAGAGTATTTTAAAAAGAAAGCTGGCAACACAGGCCTGCCAATTAGGAAAAAGCTTCATCATTTCAGACAATACAAGGCAAAAAGGAGGACTGCAAAAACGGCTGCAAGATAAATGAGTGCCAGTATTTCGGGATCCAAAATTCTTCACGGACACATTTGGGCTCTGCACCTGCGTGGAGTCGGGTCCTGTAAGAGCCAGTCCTGGCAGGACTCCCCAACCCTACTTGTCTTGAGTTGGGTCTAAACATAGTCTCTGTATAAGCAAATGCACACACTAGTACTTACACAATGCCGGATCCACACTTCCCACAAATGGACAGCTTCTGGGAATTTCCAATGGATGCTGCTATTTTGGTTGCTGGAGCTTTTACACTTCTAAATCCAGAAGGCTTATTGGGGTCTCCTGTAAGTATTTGAAAACCCAGCACAAGGGATTAGAAGAGATACCTGGAGCATCACATCAAGATCACAGTTCAGGACGCTGGACATAGTTTTGCTGCATGAAAAGTACTGCAGCACTATTTGAGATCAGTGAAATTGCATCAGTACTGCTGTGATGTCCCAAATGCAAACAATGTACGTGTGAAATAGTTCCTTTTCAAGTGTTCTGCAGAAAGACCCCATCATCAATGGCTGGGCTGCTCGTGAGCAAGAACAGTTTCTCGTTTTTTTCCTTGTACATTCTAGTTCTTGACCTGGGTCTTCTCTACCCTTCTACACATCCCTTACATTAAACTCCTTGCAAAGCAGCTGAACAGTTGATGTAACTATCCACCGCCTGCCTGTGATCCCATGAGCGTGAGCATGCCTTCACGAGGTGGTGAAGATATCAAAGGTTTTGGAGGAGTAAAACAGAGCTAAGAACATGAGAACCTGCTTGGGCCCACAGTCCGTCCTGCCTTGCGCTCCGCCGCATGAGTGCAAGCCAGCTGCCCTTGGGATCCCTCAGGCAGGATGGGCGCCACCTACCCATGCTCCTCAGCGACTGGTGTACACAAGCATCCTTCCTCCATCAATGGAGGCAGCGCACAGCCAGCGAGGCCAGCAGCCACTGATAGCCCCCGCCCCCATCGGTGCCTTTCTTTTGCGCTAGGCCGGTAATGCCGCGCAACAGCTTATGTGGAGTGAACGCACTTAGCATCACATGCGGTGCAGTGCAGCCAATCCAGCTCCTGTCCCTTGATGCTCTAGCTGAGTGCGTGTGGTTAACTGACTCCGTTTCTTAAAGCAACAAAGCACAAGCGCTGCCCATACCTTTTCCGTCTGATTCTAACATTTCCTGTAGCACCAAGAATGAGGCGGATTGCCGGGGAGGCTCATTTGAATCTTGGTTCTCCTGCAGCATCTTGTAAACCTCAGAGTCTTTGTCAACCGCTAAGTTACTGGGAGGCTGGTTAAGATGGTTCAAGCTAAAGAAATGTAAATCAAGCACCTTCAGTTAATAACATGTCAAATTGTGCTACTTTTTTTAAATAAGTGCACATGCCTGAAACAGCTGGAAATGCAAAGCGCATTTGTACAACCAAGCTCCAGTGAGATAAAATCTACCCTCAAATGCAGCAAAAAGAAGTAATTGCCTCCCGACCAGGTTTTCTAGCTTCCAGCTACTTTAAATCCACATTGATGCAAGCTTTCAGTGCCCATTGAGAGCACTGATGCAACTTCACGAATGTTGCCCAGCCTCTCAGCCGCCACTGGGCTGCCATAAAAGTTTGTACCCAGAGGGAGTAGCCATTCCAGGACTGGGTGGTCGGTGCTGAAGGTATTCTGAAGCTGCACACCTCCAGAAAGCTTTTCATCCTTTTCTTTTAAGTTCATTCACAAATTTTGCTGATAGATTTCGATCCACCCTCTTGGCAACACTCTGCACAGGAATAGGGAAGCTTGCCAAGCACGTGTTCTGTGGCGGCCGTTCTTACTCAACCAGAGAGGGCAGGCAATGAGCAAACTTGCACATGAGTATAACACGACTCACCAGCAGAAGTTGGCGTGGCCTGCACAGCCCATACCGGATCCATGAGACCCCCCACTTGATGGCAACAAGCGCAGCCGTCAACGAAGCCCTGAAGACTGGCTCACACAGCTGTGGGCCACATCCGACTCCCCACCACTCCATCACTGGCCGGAGCCGCAGGCGAGCACTGACTTCATGCCAAGCAGCTCTGTCCTGAGGCAGTGTGGATGCTCTGGCTGTGATGTCTGATGTGCAGACATGCACGGATGTGTGAACTGTATCGGAGCAACCATTCAAACGTGTTCCCCTTTGCCCTGCACACTGTCCTTTCTGCTTCTTTCAGAAGAAATGTGGATTGTTTCCCTTTGTGGATGAGGTCTTGTCACTATTCATGGGAGCCATCAGGACACATCCCATGTTGGATGGATCTCCTGTTTTAATGAGGGGCTGGACGTTTAGGTGGCATCCCTTTCTCCTCAAAATTAGGGCGAGGACGTTCCTATCACACCAGTGAGGCTACTATCTGAGCCTCTACCTGAAAGTGACACCTGACACTTCCTGTGCATTCAAAGGGGCCCAGGACAGGCATGCTGGGTCCAGTCCACACAGGTCTTGGAAGCCAGGCAGCCCCGGAGGGCTCGGCCAGCCTTCTCACCCACGCAAGGCTAACACTTCACAAGCAGCAACGCCAGCCTCCCCTAAGCCCTGGGCCACTCAGCTTCTGCACCCTGTTTCTGGAAGCGTGCCTGTCCAAAACCACCTCACCGTGCTGGACTCCAGTTGCTTTTATTTCAACCTGGTTGTATGTAATAGTACTTCACTTCCTTGCCTTTACCAACACCGAGCTGATCTCAAGTCAGAGCCAAGGTGAGACTTAGTCCAGGCAGAGCATCACAACAGGAGCAAGATGCAGAGGCTGAAGGGGAGCTGAGTGGGAAAGCGGAAGGTGGTGCCCCGGAGTCATCCCCAGCCACGCAGCGGGTGGAGCTTCCCAGATTCGAGCCCCAGTGTCCTCAGCAAAGCCCTGAACGGGGTCCTGGGAACTGAGGGACTTGGTTGCGTGCTGTGGATGTGCGTTTCCACCTGTCTTTCTCAGGCACTGTGGAACAAGGGAAACTGGCTGAGTGTTGCCCATTTGCTGTGGAAGACTGCGGGGAAGTGGTGAGGCTGCACCCACACGGTGTGTCCAGACATGTTCCAAAACCAACCTGCCCCTGCGAGGTTTCCTGGATCCACCAGGAGAAAGTTTCTGAATACTCTGAGGAGATCAAGGGGGACTTTGACATTCTTAAGTAAAGGTTAAAAGGTTTCCCCCTTGACGTGAAGTCCAGTCATGCCTGACTCCAGGAGGCGGTGCTCATCTCCGTCTCCTGGCCGAGGGAGCCAGCATTTGTCCGCAGACAGTCTCCGTGGTCATGTGGCTGGCATGACTAAACACCGAAGTGCACAGAACGCTGTTACCTGCTCACCGAAGTGGTACCTTTTCATCTACTTGCATTTGCATGCTTTCGAACTGCAAGGATGGCAGGAGCTGGGGCGGAGCAACGGGAACTCACCCCGTTGTGCAGATTCAAACCGGCGACCTTTCGATCAACCAGCCCAGCAGCACAGCGGTTTAAACCACTGCGCCACCTGCAGCCTCTTGACATTCTTACTGTGTCTGAAAATGGGTTTCCACAGCAGTGGAGTCTTTGTGGCAATTCCCACCTCTACGTCTTTATGAGTTGCCCAGACCTTCAAAGCACTTGCGCGACGCCAGGTGGGGCATCCAGCCAGTTTGTGGCCGACGGACAAACATGGCAAATGGCAAGAGTGTCTGGAAGGGAAACAGCTGCCGCCCATGCCAGTGTCCAAGTCAGCCCAGTGGAAATGGTCCTTCCGCTTTGCGCAAATAAAGCAGCGAGTGACTTGACGGACCCAAACCACGGAGTGCAGCAGCATGCACAACAGAAAGAGCAAGGCCTCGTGCACCAAGGGTCACTCCCAGCGTAATGTTTTCTCCTGAAGTTCCCCCGGCTTGCAGGTACCCTTCACAGGTAAATCTGCATGTTCAGACACAGGTGCTGCTATGGCTGGGCGCAGGGCTGGAAGGCCAGGCCTCCCGAAAGTAGCATCCAGAGGGGGACAAGCTGCACCGCTCTCCCTTATCTTAAAAACATGTGCAGCTGGGGACTAGCTGGCTGCCCACAGATTATCTCTCTCGTACTTCTACTTCACAGCAAAAGAGCGCTTATTTCCAGGTAAAGGTGCTGAATATCAGGTCAGCAGAAGCAAACTCCATGCTATCCCTGTCGTGAAGGTGCTGTGATTGAAATGAGTTTAATATACAAGAATTCTTCAAAAAGTTTCTGCACTTTTTAAAACTATTTATTAAGAGTTTAAAAAAAATCAAACCACTTTTCTACATATTCACCTTCCTTTGTGCCATACCAACTTTTTAATGCCATCAGCAAAAAATATATAAAATATATTTATAAAATATAAAGGTGCAGAAACTTTTTGAAGACCCCTCGTACAAAGCTGCAGATACTCAGCTTATTTCTTTTTAACCAGGGCTTGCAAACTATTCCTCCTGTCCCCCACCCCTGCTTCTTTGCTTGTAGCAAAGCCAAAATATCGAGCTGGCTGTAAGTATGGAGTCTCAGCGCAAGGTGGGTGGGGGAAGAAAGAGATGTCTGTTGGGCCTTTCAGAGCAACACCTCAGCAAAGGTGGGGCAGGGGGCCTGTGGGACGTTGATTCCACAGTCCAAAGTTGCGACCCTCCTGCACCACTGATTCCAACGGCCATCCCTGTTCCTGCAAGCCTTGAATGCAGATACATTTCTACCTGTTATGCTTCCAGTTCAAGTGCAGGAAGAGCAGTTCAAGTGCAGTTCAAGTGCAGACTATTGCTCCTGCATGGTTTTTCACAGAGGACCAGCTCACCCTGAGACCATGTGCCTGTCAGGGATTACCTGGAACCCTTAACAGTTTTAAGAAGCAAACTGCAGTTCAGCTTACTAACAAAACAGAACCATCCGCGAGGTGGAAGGGACAAACGTTACTTTGGAAGCGACCCAAGCTCAATGCATCTAGAACAAGGCTGCCAGGATACGTGCCACAAACGATTGCAACGAGCGAGGAACAGATAACGAAGGCTCGCGCACGCCGGGCTTACTTAAGGCGACCGCATAAGAAGCAGGCACTGTTACCTGGGGAAGGTGGGCTAACAGAAGAGATCTGTCTGTCCCTGCAAAGAATCCAGAATGCTTTTTTCCATGACAGAGCTGTAAAGAAGGGCTGGACTGCACATGCTGTACTCCGTGCCTGGATGCCGCCCCTTCCACGCAGCACCGGGGCAGATCCGAGCCGACTCCTCGGGCTGTTCCCGAACCACTTCGACATGGTTTGCGATGCACAGACTTTGGGGCTTTGCTTGCCAAGGGAGGAAAGCAGCTGAGGAGAGCAGCCGTCTGATGCAAAGGAAAACCAGACACACGTGCCCCCAGTCCCTAAGGGGGTGCGGCTGGTAGAGGAGCGCCATTGGTGATGGACACAGGGAAGGAAGTTAAAGTATGAAAACTGTATACTAAATCCATTGAAAGGATAAACCAATCCCACTTTTCCCAGTGCATTCAGGAACGACAGGGATGGAGAAGCTACACTGAGGTCCATGCCGTCTCCGCAAAGACCCACCCGCTGCGAGAGGCTCCGAGTGAGCAGAGGGATGGACGGGGCGTAGCTGAGTGGGCTGGGCGTGGGTGACAGAGCTGGCGGGATGCGGCAGTGCACCTGTCAGTGGCGTCTGTGTGAGACGCGGACTGGGGGAGTGAATGTCAGACGGGCGGAACTGCACGGGAGGCGAGTAAAGGGCATGTGTGTGTGGGCGAGAAGCAGGCGGAGTGTGGCGAGTGCCTGCCACGAGTGGCTGGGGGGGTGTGGTGTGTGGGAGGCGACGGGCACGCGCGAGTGAACAGGGCGTGGATGTACTTCTGTGTGAAAGTGAATGAATGGTATGAGAGTGTGTGAGACAGCATGGTGTGGTGACCTGCTTCGGGTGGCACTGGACGGACGGATGGAGACAGGAATTGGGGGCGCATGGATGCAGCAAGCCCTTGGATTGAGTTCGGGCACAGCCACTGTGGGCAGAGGGCATCACGCAGCGCTCCAGGGCTCTTGCTTCGGACGGCAACACACCTTGGGCTGACGCTCGTAAAGTGTTCGGGGAGTATCAGCTGAGACTTCTTCCATGGAAGGCTACAGTTTGGCACAGGAGTCTTGCAGTCACATTTCAGATATCAAGGTTCCGTTCTTTTTTGCTGCTGAACCATCAGGGTGGAAACACAATAGGCTGGTGGACTGGCAGATGGATGCATCTCCTTGAAAAACCCAGCTTTGAAGTCCCATGGAAATTTCTGATATCCTCCCCACCCCACCCCTCAAAAAAGTACCTCCAGACCTCAAAAGCTTCAGGGATAAATGTGACAGTTGTACGTTCTCTGCAGGGCAGAGCCGTTCTCGCTGGAAGGGGAACAAAAGCCACTGGGCTGCACCGTTCTCCTCATAAAAGCCCCGGGGACCTGCTTTTACGAGTGGGAGGACCGTTCCAAAGGCTGGCAGCACGATGGCATGGCACGCAAAGAGACACGCCTCAATTTTGCGGTCGTCTTGAGGAACACCTGCAGGTTCTCACTAGCTGAGTAACCAATCAAGAAGCCCGAGAGTGTTTGGGGTGCATGATGTGCCCCTCAGACCCGCTGGTGCTTGTCCTGCAAGCTACTTACTTCTTACTGGGCTCCTGGTCACCAGCAGGTGACCTGGACTCCACCGAATGGTTGAAGGTCTGCAGGTTTTCTGAGGAGTACAGGCTCGAGGGGTTGTTGTACTGAGCAGTGACGACTTTGGGCGAACCACCACCAGCAGTGAACGGGGTCGCGCTCCGGTTGTGTGAACTTCCAATATGTTGTACGTCCTGCGTACAAGGAAAGCCCAAATCAGAAGCATTCAGCATGCGGGGGGAAAGTGGCACCCGGCTGCTCAAAGCGCACGTGAAGAACAAGGTTGGCCGGCTTAATCCGACGGGGGAAAGGATGGAGGCAGAGGGAGAGAGATCTGTGGGAGGGAAACTAGTCTTGGGTGACAGCAGGGCTGGAAGCCTCCAGGTGCTTGTTCTAAGCCCCTGCAGGACGATGGCACACGCCTCTCTTCGGGACTGACCTGCAACCCGACTCTCAACCTGAATTCAACCCAAACCTCCCCTCGTTGCATCTGTGAACCAACGCACTGTTTCCCTCTGTTTCTGTGCTGCAAATAACCCGAGTGCGGTCCTAAGAGGGGGACCTCCAGGAGTTTGTTTAGTGGGGGAAGACCCGTGTACATACGAGGAACTGTCACCGGGGACGTTTCACCGAAGCCACGCGAGCCATTTGCAGAGCAGGGAAATGGCAAGAGTGCAGCGGCTGCACCTGGAGCACGTTGCTGGAGGGGACACTCGGGCCGGGGAAAGCAGGAGGCAGAGGAAGAAAAGGCGGCCAGAAGGAGGTGCGTCCGTGCCATGAGCCATGAGGGAGCCCACGGCCCTGGATGCGCAGGGCCGCCCTGGGTGGGGCAGCTGGGAGGCGCTCGCTCACCGGTCACTGCAAGGCAGAGGTGGCTTGACGGCACATGGCAGCAGTCACGAGAAACGTCCGTGCAGAGGGGGAAATGGCTCCAGCTGCTCGCACGCAGGGCTCCTCCAGCCAACACCCCGCCATGTCAGGCAAGGCCTCGGCCTCGGCCGCCCACCCCACCCTGCCATGGGCAGTGCTCTCCAGCCGTGCAGGATCGCAAGGGAGCTGCATTCAGGTCTTAGCACTTCACCCCGGCGCACCAGCTCTGAGGTGCCAGCTGAGGGCCAGCCAGGGCTTCCTGGTAGTCCCAAGTAACCGAAAGCATGACAAGCCCCTGGAAACAACGCAAGGAAATGCAGGAGTCCTGAGATCACCGCATGACACATGTCCCAGCTGTACCTGGGCAAACCAGTGTCAAAATGCTTTGAGCTCTGAGAAAACTGGAGGCCAGCTCTTCCCCCTCTTCCTGGGCAGTGTGTGAAACCACTAGGACGCGCTGCCTGCGTCCTCCCCCTCCGCTCATTAAGCATTTCATATCCATGGAAATAAGCAGAAACAATACAAAGTTCAGCAGGCCTCTCACAATGGGGGCGTTTGGCCAACTGCTCCATGCCTTATCACAGGCTGAAGCACACGCCCAGCTCCGAGAACCCTCCGCTCTCCCGTTTCCATGGGGATAAATACACAGAACACCAACAATTATCTCATCCCTGGAGGACGTGACAGCACCAGCAGCTCTAAAGGAAAGCCTCAGGAAAGGCAAGCCCAGTCGATTCATGCAGCAGCCCGTCCGTCCGTTTCGAAGAAGGGGCCATGACGTCAGTCTGGCAAAGGGGCTTGCGGCTGGGAGGCAGGCAGGCAGGCAGGCAGGCAGGCAGGCAGGCAGGCAGGCAGGCAGGCGCGCTCTTGCCCGGGGCAAGCCTGCGAGGGGAGGGTCCCTTCCGGATTCATGTTTCCCAGGCAGGCAGAGGCAAGGGGCAGGCAGACCAAGCGACCCCGAACCCGGGGCGGGGGGCGCGTCCGCATGGGCAGTGCTGCTGCCTGCCCACCCGCCCTGCGAACTGGTGCAGGTGAATCCCTGGCCACCATGCCTGACCAGGAAGGGGCTTGCGGGAGGGCGGCAGGAGGGCAGGGAAGGAGGTGGGGGGGGGGGGGTCCTCCCCCCCCCCGGCGGGGGTGCGGCCCCCCCCCCCCCCCCCCGTGGACCACCATGGCTGCTTTGTTTAGCCATGTGAGAGTTGCTTCTGCCTAAGCGGAGAAAATCCGAGCACACACATGCTGGCGAAAAGGGACTGGGCACAATTCGGGGCACTGACCTGTGGCTGGGAAGCCAGATTCATCTTGTACGGGTTGGTTTTCCCTTCCTCGGTAACCAGGGGTGACCAAATTCTTGACTCCATTCTGCAAAGTGGAAGAGCCGGCGGTTAGTTCTCACACGCTGCATATCCATGGCCGTGCCCCGGGATCCAGGCTACGAGGTTTGCTCATGAACTGTGCCAGGCGTGCCCACAGCATGTGCAGCCCTGGCGCACCTTCCACATCGGGGAAACGCTGAGCTGAAACGGTCCGCAGGGATGTCCCCTAAGCCAGGGTGGCAGCCCTCTACCTTTGGGGCCACTCCCTTGAAGGGGCCAGGGAAATGTGCCTGAGGAGCACCACAGAGCTTGCTCTGGGCCTTGTGCCAGGTGCTTCCCACCTTTTCGGACCCATGGGCCGCCTGGGAGGTGGAGGCACCAACAACGGCTTCCACGGAGAGTGTGGCTGATCCCACCAAGGGCTGCTGTGGGGCTTGGCTGGTCAGAAGAGGTGGGGGGGCAGAAGGAGTGGGGCTAGAGGCTGTGTGGGGAGACAGCAGTGCAAACTGTGAGTCGAGAGAGGGCGCAAGGACAGGGCTGGGAAGGGAGCGATGGGAGCAAGCGAGGGGCACAGGAGGGGAATGAGAGTGAGGAAGGCGGTTGGGTGCAGAGAGCAGAGGCGGCAAGAGAGAAGCCAAGGAGGAACGTCCGTCCGTGTGGATGCAAGCAGATTGCGAGGGGCCAGGAAGCAGCTCTTTCCTCCTCTTCCTGCCCAGTGAACAGCTCAGCAGCAGCAGGCGGACAAGAAAGCCTGCTGCCCTGGCATTTCCCAAGCTCTCGTGCGCTTAGAAATACCTTCTGGGGGAGCGGGAAGAGCCTCGCCGGGCCCCCCGGGGCTGACATGGGCCAGGCGCTGCACGGGGGCACCTTAGCGCCTGCCTCCCTCCCTCCCTCCCTCCCTCCCTCCCTCGAGGACCTCGGCCCGGGCGAGTCCGGCGGAGGCACCGTTCCTGGCCCGCTGTGGACTGCCTGAGGCCCAGGAAGGCAGCGGACTGGGCCGGCGCCACCCCCACGGCACTCCAGCCTCCACGCGCAAAGGCGCGCTGATGCGCTGCTGCGGCTGCATGCGACCCCAAGAGTGCACACTGAGAGAGGGGCCCCTAAAACATGGAAAAGATGTGTGGGTGCAGCCCTGGCGCATTTTCGCCAGCACCACTGGAGATGCCACGGGCGTCAGTTTGGGACCCCTGCCTGGCAGGATGACGTGCGCTTGACCCCGAAATACCAAACCGCTCAGAAGGGGACACTGCAGCTCACACTGAGGAGGGAGGCGAGAGGGGAAGCGGCACAGAAAGGAGATGAGCAAGTCCGTGGCCTGGGACCAGTCCTCGAACCACGGCTGAGGGCTTGGCCATCTGCCCAACCAGGGCTTTGTCAGTTGTCCCGACTGTTTACAAATTTGTATTTCTGGCATGCAAAGCTGAACTCATGGGAAAGGCATGCAGCTGAGGTGGGAATCGCGGCTCCCAGACTCTTGGTCATGGCATGGGAATGGACGAGGGAAGGCTTTCACCTTCCAATTAAAGACCAGCATTCCAAACTCGCAAACTCAAGTTAGCTTCCTAAAATATAAAACAGCTGCCTTTCCAAAAGGGCAAAATGGCTGCAGCGCTTCATATCTGCAAAAGTCACCCACCCGCCTGACATGCTCCAAACTTAAATAGAAAAGAGGAGCCTGTTCAGACATTTCGGGCAGCGCCATCCACCTCCTGCCCAGCCACCTCTATGAAAACAAGTGTTCTTGCTGGGTTCGATGGTGCCAAACATGCTGAGAAAAAAAATTCTAAGGCTCCAGGCTGACTAAGACTGCGGTCTGTGCCGCCCCAGAGCCCCCTCGCTGGGGCACCAGCAAGATGCATCCTGCCTTCCAGACCTCCCCGTTCCCCCTCTCTGAAGTTGATTTCCAGACCTCGGAGAGGCAGCTGCGAGGGGACCAGGGAGCAGCTCCAGAGCTTGCTGTGAATGGGAGCGCTCTTTCCGACCTGGCATCTGAGAATCCGAATCATCCCATGTCCCCTTCGATTGCTCTTGCCCTCCTCATGACGACATAGATCAGGAGTGGGGAGACGGTGGGTGGTCACCTTCAGACGGGGGCTTAAAAGGGGCTTCCTTCGCGGTGCTTGTGCTCCAAAGCCCAGCAAGGCATGGGGTCGCCAGGCAGGCAGGGCGGGAGTGCACATGGCCACCTGCCGCTTACCTGCTTACCTGGGGCTCCCCCAGAAGGATGCTCACAGGCTGGGCAACTGGCACACACGGAGGGAAATGAGTCACTGGGGCTGATTCCCCCCAACAGGCAACCCGGGCCCCCATGAGCTCTCTCTGCTGAACAAGGCAGGCTGCAGGGCCGCAAGGAAGCCAAGCTCTGTGTTAAAACAACAGGCCACCTCCAGGGCTGCACTTGAACGGCTGACTTACTCATGCCGACTGACCGGTACATAAAAATGGGAAGGGAACGTCACTCTTGGCACTACCAAGCTACTCAGATAAGGAGGCGAAATAGACAATGTTTTTATCCCTGTGAGTGGCAAAGGAAAGACTTCCTTTTCCCCTGCAAGCAGGTGCACCCAAATGCTCTGCTGGCTCGAAGACGACACCGGTAATGCTGAGGCCTTTAATATACATTGGTACCTCGGCTCATGAGCTTAATCCGCTCCAGGACTCTGGTCGTGACCCAAATTGGTCGTGAGCCAAGTCAAATTTCCCCATAAGGGTCAATGTAAATAAGGTTAATCTGTTCTGTAACCATTTTTTAAATCAGAAAAATGTGAAGAAGTGACGAAGAACAACAAAGATTGCGGCCATCTCCCCGCCCCACCCCCCAGCCTCCCTGCATGCGCCCGTTGTCCCAGCATGCTGGGGGAGGGAGGAGACGGGCGCGAACGCAGGCGGCTGGGGGGGAGACAGGCATGCCCGTGCTGGGGGGGAGATGGCCGAGATCGCGGTTGCGCTTGTGCAGGAAAGTCGATGGCCATCTCCCCCACCCCCAGCACGATCGTGGCCATCTCCCCACTTGGGGGGGGGAGATGACCACGGTCACCACCCAATGCGGAGTTCGCGACCTGCGGCAAAATTTTTATGAAATTTCTGTTCGCAACGCGATTTGGCCGTGGACTGAGGCATTCGTCCACTGTAATCGCCGCTGCAGAAGCCTGGGAAACAGGCAGGCAGGGCCCGGGACCCATTCACACAGCCCACGAAATAGCCCTGGGCAAGGGGGGCTGGCCGGGGCTCACTGAGCAGGTGCCCCCAGGGCCTTCCCCGCGAGTCCTCCGGCCGGCATCCGAGAGGACTTGGTGGGCGACCCTCCCCTTTCTTTCCCGAGATCGCCGTTTGCGGTGCCTGAGCTGTTTTGGGATGTCCCTGTGGGAAGAGACACTCTGCAGCCCCGTTAGAGGAAGGAAGCTGACGCCCTGGCAGCTGACATTCACACGAGTCTGAGCAGAGAAATTTCCCAAATGAAAAATGAATAAAATGGAAACATATTTTAGATGGTGATCCAACGAGAGCCCTTCCAATTTGCCACTTAGACACTTTGAAAGGGTTGCCGTTGGCTACCAAACGGGAGATTGTAAAAGATGATCCTCTCCACCCCCATAAAAGAAGGAAGGAAGGAAGGAAGGAAGGAAGGAAGGAAGGAAGGAAGGAAGGAAGGAAGGAAGGAAGGACGGACGGACAAGAGGGAGGGAAAACGCCACAGTGAGTGTGGAGGGGCTTGGCTCATGGCGGGCGATACCGAGCCAGGAAGAGCCGTGCCCTGCGATGCTTGGTGGCCCTGGGGGGTCTGGGCAGGCTTGCAGGGGCAGGAGAGCGCTTGGCCTCTCTCACCGGTCGGTTTCCAGTCACTTCCTGGGGCCTGGGAGGGGGTTGTTCGCCTGGCTTCCGATGATGCCCCGCCATGGATACAACCACCAGGGCGGTCAGGACCACTTCTTGCTCTGAGCAGCCCTCCTAATGAGAAACACTACAAGTCTGCACAACACAGCACAACAACTGGGTCCGGCTGGGTTCAGGCGAGGCAACAGCCCGAGGGTTGGCACAGATTGTTGCCGAGACGCGCGCCTGCTCTCGAAACCCAGCCCATCGAACCAACCATGGTTTGTTAACCATGAACAGCCACCAAAGAGATTCCAGTTTCTTGTTGGGTTGTGAATGGCAAACTGTTCATTGTTAATGAAACCTGCTTGGAAAGTATGGATTGTGGTGATCCTGTGTCAGCTGGCTTAGCTGTACACCAAGGTCACATTGTTTCAAATGTTGTTAGCTTTCTAGCCTCCTCAGATTTGCTATTTATCTGTAAACAGTGTCTTGTTTTCTGGAAATCCTGGATGGAGAGGAGATGGTGATCACAATTTTTCCATGATTTTCAGCACTGAAGTAGCTTACCACCCTTTTGAAATCCCGCATACCGAACAAACCAAGTATTTCATACTTCTAATATCGTATTAAACATTTAGCTCTAAATTCATCCTTCTAATGCACAAAAATGCTGATAATTAGAACCTAAAAGATGTTTAACATCGAACGAGTTGAGTAGTTTCTGTCTTTGATGTGTGGGCTCTTATCTAAGTAATGAGACCATTTCTTCCTCTGAGTCTCCCAGTGAAGTTACTCCTGCTGGGCCTTCAGCTACAGTGATGGTTAAGGTAGCCACGTGCAGGTACAGGGGAGCGTTCATGCTGCTGTTCTCTTTCTTCTGATTTAAAACATACAAGAGAACATCCAGCCTTTCACTCCTCTACATGAATGTTTCAAAGAGTTTTTCCTATCACGGCAATGTTGATCTCGAAAGAATGCAGCCAAAACTCAGAAAAGTAATTGTAATTTTGGGAGGAGATCCATTTTTTTCACAAGCAGCACTGGCCACCCAGGGTAAGTTCAAATGTTCAAAGTGAATCCAACCACGCTGCATAATTCTAATTAGCTAGAATGTATGCAGATTAAACTTCTAACAGCTGCAATTTCTTTTCAGTAAACACAGTCCTACAGCCTGCCAGTTAAGTGCAGCAGGGATAAGAGAAGGGGGTGTTTAGCCTACATCCGATGCCCCGCTGCCTCCTGGAGCGAGGCTTGCTATCTGTCTTGGCATGCGAAATGTACAGGGATCTGCTGAGGGCCAGAATGCAACCCTCTAACACAGAGGCCCAGTTCTCACTTAACAACACCCCATGGGTTGTTTAAACCATGGCTTGTTGGGTCCGCAAGCAAGGGGATCAATGTGCTGACTCTCATACATCGTTACTTCCATTTGCAGTCAGCTTTAACCAACACCCCATTCCTAGATTGTCTGAAATAATGCTGAAACCTGCAACTCTGGAAGAAACCACCTGGGATTTAAGCCCAGTAATCCTCCATTCTTTGTTGAGTCCTGTTCTAGCCAGCCCCAGTTCTTAGCTATGCAACACAGTCAATTCTATTTGAGAAACTGAGCAAGCAAAAGGCAGACAGGATTTTGCTGGGCAAACAGGGATTTTCCAGAGAGAAGTCAGAGTAGTAGCAAAGATCAAATGCACAGAATATCAGTCAAGAAGGACTAAGGTCTAGAAGGCAACATTAGGCATAAGTCCAAAGGTTTGACACAGAGGTCATAATGCAAGTCTGTTACACAGTTCAAAACTGAGTAGTCCCGGTTCTTCTAAAGTCCTAAGCACGGATTAAGCGTTCCACTTCTCACCCCTTTTCCAAGGACAGGCACCACTGCTGCTCTGCAAAATGTTCCCCAATGTCCCAAGATGGGAGAAATCATTTTAGGACAGCTCATGTGAAGTTGTCAGTGTCACAGCACAGATTAATCTACTGCAGAATTCTTAGGATTCTCTTCTGCTTAGTGCAGGCTTCTAAAAGCCAGCAATGTGACTCCAAGCAGCAAAGCACACACACAAAGGAAAAGCACAGGAGAGCCGCAGCGGTACATGTTGTGTGTGTGAATCACAACCACACGCTGCTTTACAAGCATGCAACTTTGCCATTCCCCTGCAACAAGATCCCTGCCAGTGCCTCTATAAGGTATCTCCAGTAAACCTTTCCTTCTAGTTTTGGGTTCCTTGTACTGAACTTGCTTAAAAAGAGACATCAAAGCACCAAAAACCACTGACATTCCTTGACATTGTGCTTTTCTTGGTCCCCCGTTAAAACATCTCTCCTACATGAGTTGTCTGCAGATGCTACTAAATGGTTTTCCATTTCACCTCTATTCTGTCTCCATGTTCTGCTGTTACTCAAATAAACTGAATAGGCAGACTGCTCAGCATTTGCAGCATTTAAGGTGAGAGATAATTTCATAGTCCTTGTTCCAGAGTTCTGGGAGGGCAGTCAGGAAGAAAAGATCGCATGCAGCCAGTACAACAGATTTAAGAATACGCGAGAGCATTCTTGGAGGGCCACTGCTCCAAGAGTCCTATTGTATGATTACTCATGGTTATATATTAGCCCAGTAGTTGCATAACCATGCATAAGGTTTGCTCATCTCTGTTACGAAAAAGGAAGGCGGAAAGAAGTCCTTTATCTATGAATGCAGCTTTGGGTGCCAATCTGGCAGAATAAACAAGCGTTGGCAAGAAGCAGAAATCGAAAACACAGTCTGGAGCCTCCAGGAAGGCACATCTTGGGAGGCGAGAAAGGAGAGCAAATAATGAGTCCTTTCCAGGGAAGGGTGGGAGACAAAGGAGAGAACTCCTGGCTGATGATGCATGAGAAAATGGAAGGAGGTGCTTGCTGAGGGAGGCTTCAGTTCCTGCCTGAAGGCATCTTGCACGCAGCCTGTGCTGGCTTCCCAGAGACAAGGGCGGCCATGACCTGAGGCTTTGGAACGAAGGGCAGGACGGGAGGAGCTGTGCAACTTCCTTCCTCCTGGGAAGCAGAGTGCAAAATGAGAGACAAGTCCCTCTCCGAACCATGACAAGCGCCTGTGAGCAGCTCAAGGGACGGGGCTTGGTCTTGTTTCACTTCGGGGGCCTTTGCAGAAGCCAAAGCAGTAAGATGGTCCCCCGCTGCTTCTGAACGTCAACCCAGGTTGGCAAGGCAAGGCAAGGCAAGGCACGCCACGTCCTGAGCTTCGGGGGTGGGCACAAGAGAGGGGACAATCGCAACGGCAACGCAAGGAATAGGTCTGGAGAGGCCCGAGAAGGAGCAGCGCACCGGCACGCTGCAGTCACCTAAACCCAGCAATGAAGGTGGAGCGGCAGTGCCGCAATGCAGACCAACCAGGGTGCCGTCACTGCACTGCCACGTGCGCCGGCCTGTGGCTCATCCAATGTTACTCTGCTTCCGCTAGTCACGAGGAGCGGGGAAGTGCAATCCAGGGACGTGGCCTGACTCTGCTCCCTGAACTCCTCCTGCCTGCACAGACCTGCCTTCCCATGCGAGCATCTGAAACGGGCCTTTTCAAATTGCACGGGGGATTCCGCACTGCACTGTGGCTCCGCTCGTCTTCCTCGGACAACCCAAGCTGCCGTTTCCTTCTTTCCTTTGTGGAGAGGGGGACATCCAGTTCGTGGAAGCTGGGGCTCCTTCCAGGGGCCTCCCCCGCCCACCCCACCCCACCCCCTGGCCAGAGAGCCACTGCGGGCCTGGGGAGGCGAAGGATCCCCACGTAATTCTCACTCGAGCAGACAGGGTACTCTGCGGAGGGGGACGCTGGCCAGCATCTGACTTACGGCGGCCCTGTGAATGAAAGCTCCCCTCCAGTGAATGCCCCCTCCAAAAGCATGCCCGCATCCGCTCATTCCAGTGGCTTTGAGCATCCTTACAGACTTGACTCAGCCATCTTTAGTAAGAGTACTGGACGTGGTATTTCCCATCGAACTTGCTGAGATGGAAAATATGCTAGATACGTGTGCTGAGTTCCACGACGACAGGACAAAATAGCAAGTACTATTCAAAATGTTCCTTGAAGGGTCTGGACTTTTCTTTGAGGAGAGACGGAGCATTGCCCGAAGCTCCCACAGGGCAGCCGTTCCCTCCACAAAGAGCAGGGTGTTCTGCATCCTGCCCTGGCTGGTGTCCCATCCCGCCCCCCCCCCCACTGGCTCCTGGCATGTGGTTCAGGGGCCTTTGCGGTAGAACGCCCGCTCTCCTGGGCCCCAGCCTTAGCGCCCTTTCCGCAACAGGCGCATCCAGGCTGCCTGCTCCCGAAATCCTCCTGCCGCATCAGATCGGTGAATGGAATTAGTTTGCGCCCTTTGCGCCCTTCCACCAAGAGTGGTGGGTGGCGGCCTGGAGCTCGCTAGTCGGCTATGCGGCCGAGTGCGCCAAGGCCCTCCTCTTGTCACCATCCTTGCCAATTTCATCCGCCATGTTGGCACTCCCCTTGCCAATAAACCAGCCTCTTCAGGGCCGATTCACCAACCCCTGAGGAAGCCCCCCCCCGCACCCTGAGCCACTTTGGCTCCCCCCTCCTGCTGCCCCCGAGGAGCAGGATCACGAAGTGGACACCAGTGCCACAGCAAGCCAAGAGCACAGAGGGGAGGGGAGACTGGCAAAGGTTTCCCGGCAGCTCCTGTGCACTCGCGCAGGGCTGGGAATGCATACATGGGGAGGGGCGCAGGGGCCGGAGGGCGCCGAGAGGGAGCGAGGGAGCACGGTGGTTGCACCGGCAAGGAAGCGGCAGGGGGTCCCACTGCTCTTCCTGGGCAGCTGGCTAGCATTTCCCAGCAGCCCACGATCAAGGCATCCTGCCGGGTTCAGACTTCGCAAGAAACCGCCGCGGGGATGGATAACGCAGCAACAAGCCGTGGGTTCTCAGAGAGGTTCGTTCTTGAAAATACGCAACCCTGGAGAAAATACCCAGTATGCATAACGTAACAGCGCGCAGCAGGAGGAGTGCCCTCAAGGGCAACTTAGAGAGAGCAGCCAAACGCGATCAGACACTGCGGCTCTCCAAGGCAAACAAGAGTCCGGCTGCGTTCCTTCCGTCAAGGAGGCAACTCACCTGCCCACTGCTAGAGTTATTTCATCTACGCAGCCCTTGATTTTGTTCTGTGCTTCCAGGTGAGTCATGTTCTCCGTGCTCTCCCCATCAATGGCCACGATGATGTCTCCAGTGCATAAATTGGCCAGTGCAGCTTTGCTGCCAGGCGTTACCTGGGAGACGGGAGGAAGAAGGGCAGAAAGGGTCAGAAAAGGACGCCTGCGTGCCCTCCATTACAGGCACCCTCTCCACTGCGGGCCTGAGCGGCTTCAAGGAGAAGGGAGGGCAGACACAAAAGAACCGCCTTACCTGCAATAAAGGCCTATCTTACAGAGAAGGTCTGGCGAGGTCATATTAGCACAGGCATTCCATTCCTTTACCATCTGTAGCTGAAGCTGGGTGGTTCCCAATGGGATATAAAAGCAATACAATACGATGCCTAAAACAGCTTTGAACCATTCAAAGCTTAACTGGAATAGCCATAAAAATACCGTAAGAAGACCCAGTCTGCAGAAAGATGAGAGGCGCCTGGTAAACCCACCAAGCCCCTCAAGGACCACGGAGATCATTAAAGGCCTCTCTCTGCAGGGAGGTCTGTCTTAGCCTGGCACGGAAAAGACTGCCAGGTTGGTGGGCTGCCGTGCGGAGGTTGTTCCAAAGGTGGGGGGCCATCACCCCCAGAAGCCACCCTCTGAACCTCTCGAGGGGCGGGGTACCCGGAGGAAGGCTTCGCCCAGCGTCTGCGTCGATCGGGGCTGGGAGGGCCGGTCCCCCAAGCCCCGAGACCCCTGCCGTGCCCCCGTTCCGCTCCCACGCAGCGTTCAGCGGACGCCCGTTAGCCACAGAGTGCCTCGAGGGCGACCAAAGCAACGGGACCCCCTGCCCTGCCTGCCGGCTCCCCAGAGGTCCAGCGGGCGCCGCGTTGGAGCTGCGTCCCGGGCCAGGGAAGCCCGCTCCACCGCGGCACCCTCGTGCAAGGAGGCGTCCCGCGGCCGCGCCTGCCCGGGCACGGCCCGGCGCCGGCCCGCGGCTCCCTCCCGCTGAGTCCCAGAAAGGCACGTGCCCGGGCGGCTCGGGGCCGCGCGGTGCTCTCCGGCGGCGGCGGCGGCGGCGGCTTACCCGGGAGACGGTGAGCGGCTGCTCGAAGTCCTTGCCTCCGACCAGGCGGAAGCCCCACGGCCCGGGGCCGCGGATGGCGACGCGGTGCGTGGCGCTCATGCTGCTCGCTGCGCACTCGAGCCGGCGCGCCTGGGCGGCGCGGCGCTCCCGGCGGGCGAGGAGGCGGTGCCAGCGCGGACCCGCCCGGCCGAGCGCGCCCGGCCGGAGCCCTTCCTGCCGACGCAGCGCGGAGGGGCGCGGCGGGCACGGAGGCGCCCCGGGAGCGCCGTCCTGGCGGAAGCCGGGCGCGCCAAGCCGCTGCTCCTGCGAGAAGGAGCCCGTGCGCGGCGGCGGCGGCGAGTGTCCTCCCGGAGCTTGCTCACGTTAAAGGTGCGGCACTGCTGCCGATGCCGCTGCAGGCGGCGGGGGGCTGGAAGGGCGCCACGGCGGCTCCGGCGCAATCCGCGCAAGCGGCGAATCAAGCGAGGAGCGGCCCCGGATCTCGCTGAGCGCATTGCTCCGCCGCTTTGGTGCTCATTTGCAGATTTGCTTTCATGCCCTCTAAAAACCGTTCTGGTCCCAGGGTTATTTTGCTCTTTGTATTTCGGAATCACCAATTTAAGTCAAATTCTATTTTAAATTGGCTTTAGAGAGAACGGAACAGGTCAGGACTGAATGGTGGTCCTGCGTGAAAAGAAGGTTAGGTCACGAAGCACGGCATGCTTGAAGGCACTGGGGAACGGTATTTTAGGACTGAACTCTTTGGAAAAGTATAAAATATGAAACCCCAAATGGCCAGAACCAATCAGGAACAGACTGGAATGGCCCAGCACCATGTTGCGGGGGAGCCAACCCAAGCATGTTCACGCGCAACCAGACATGCAGCCAGGCGCAAAGCATTCGCAGAAACCCCCTTCCAGCGCCCAAACCTTCCAGGCACTGGTCGACATCCCTGAAAGTCGCCTTGAATGCCAGTGTCTGACCAAAGAAGCCTTGGCCGCATCGAGAAGGGCAGAGGGTTTGCTTTGCTTTCCATGCCCTGATCCAAGGTCGGAAAAGAGCCCCAGCCTCAGTTCTTGAATACTGCACCCACATTGCTCTCCCGCCCACAGCTGGTGCAGAAGCGGCCGCCTCTGCTGCTTCGCAGAGGCCATCGCGGAGAAGGGCCGGGGGCACTGGGGTGAGGAAGCCTGGCACCGCCCAGATGCAACGCGTCCCAAGCCCCTTTCCCTCCCCGAAGCGCGACGGCCAAAGTCGGCCCTGCAGCTGCCTGCCCGGGCGGGAGGAATGCACTGGCGGTCCTCGCCTCTCTGCCCCTCCGTTCTGCATAGCATGCCCACAGTCCTCCACGTCTGAAGGGCCACCAGCATCCCCTAAAGGAGCCAAACCAAGACATTCTTCAGCTGTGCAGAGTGGCATGGAATGTTTGCAGCCACGAAGCACCCCCCCCCTTCCGGATCTGCTCCAGGCGAGGAAGGGTAAACGACCCGGAATACTGACTGCCGAGCAGCGAAGCAGCCGGATCCATCCAGCACACCTGGACACGGGTACGGTCAGCCGCAAAACAGCCACATAAACCAGGTCCGATTCAAGGGTCTGTTCTGGGCAATAAAAAGTATTCTGGGAAATCCACTCCAAGCATCAGTTTCTCAGCTGGCCAAGCTGAATTCTCCCATGATAAGCCGTAAAATGTCCTAAGCAAACTTTTTTCTGCAGGCAGTGAAGTATATTCTGGACAGATGCCAGTTCCCCAGATGTGAAAGCCACCAAATGTACGCATTGGACTAGCCTAAAGATTATCCATGATTTTCAACAATATTCTTCTAGGCAGTATGCAGCTTAAGGGCTACACGGTCTCTTTCATATGTGTATTTGTCAGGAAGACTGAGGTGCTGTATTGAATCTGATGGGAACAAACAGCTGAATTATTCCAGATGTAATGCTGGTGGATTTAATAAGGGGCAAATCTCACTTGATGGTGCCAAATCTTACTTGGTACAACTGAGCAGTGCCAGCTTTAGGGCAGATTCCTATGGCCTCCCGGTGTGGTTTGGGGAGGGCCTAGGCTTATTCACAGCCCCACCTCCAAGATCTGTGATCTGGACTACACACCCACCCCACCTCCTCTCCGCCAGCATGGAAAGAACAGCTTCACGGATGCGAATGCTCCTCCCAGAGGAGGGAACGTGTGTGCCGGGATGGGGAGCGGAGAGGACTGGGGTCAGGGACTTGGCTGAGTCCCACCAGCATCCCAGCTTCCTTTCCTCTGCCTCCCCAGTGCTTTGCCGAACTGGAAGCGGTGCAGCAGCAGCAGCAGCAGCAGGAATCCTTGTCTGTGCCTTATCTGGGCACTGGATGGAGGGAAGTCTCTGCATCTGCAGGGACCCCTGCGGCAGCAGGGCTGCACCCTTGAATGGTCCAATCCCCGCAGTTTGCAAGTGTAATGAGGAGGAAGATCCATTAGGTGGCAGGCTGCGGCCAGGAATCGCAGCAGTCCTGGCCTCCAAATGAAAGTGAACACCGAGCAAGGAGGACAAAGACTCCATTCACGGGGCCACAGAATGGCAGGCGGAGACTTCCGGAATGGCAGCAGAACTGCGGGTCAGGGATCAGCTCAGCTCGACAGTCTCCAAGGGAACAAGAGGGAGAGCAGAACCCACCCCTCCGCACAGGGCCTGTGGTGTCTTCCCAAACAGTGCGGAGTCTTGCCCCGACTCCCACCTGGTTACCAGCATGTGCAGCCTCCCGGCAAGTATGGGAAGGACTCGCAGACCCTGGGTGCATTCAGTGATCCGGTGCCTGCAGGCCTTGCAACGAATCACAATCGTCGCCGGGAGACCGGGGAACTGAAGGCCTCGTTGGCATCTCCCCAGGGAGGCCTTGGCTAAGTCCGGTGTCCTCTTTCGCCCCACTCGTTCAGCGGACGGAGGAGGCAAAGGCAGCCTGCCCTGAACTCTGAAGCACCCCATGCTGCCCAGCAAGAGGACTGCACAGCTTCTGAAACTTTCCTTCCCAGTAGCCAGGAGAGCACTTTCTGACAAAACTGAATGGCAAAGCCGATCATGCCAGCCAGAAGGGCTCGTGCTGGACCTCTCCCAGGACTTGGAGCACATCCTTAGGCAAAATCGACTGCAATGGACCGAAACAACCGCAACTGCAAGAGTCGGCGATGAGACGGAGGAGTCTGGCTTCCAACCGGCATCCAAGCAGAGAGAGGTGACTTTATCCTGAAGGCCCAAATGAGCAACAAATAGTTCCAGAGCCAGCAAGCTTTGTGACATTTCCAAATATCTCTCTTTGTCACTCACACTGGCAAGAAGGAGGCCCTCAAATGGGCTGCAACCCGCGTGCCCCTGGCCCTCTCCTGAGTTTTCCCCTCCCACATGCAAATGGCCATTCCAGCACCCCCTTGAATCAAGGGGCGCATCTGTTTGGGTAAGGTGCAACATTTGGAAGTGGATCAAGGACCGTTCTGGAGGTGACATAAGAGGCCCCTGGCATTGCGCCAGCCGTGCTTGTGCACCCAAGGGCTCGAAGAACGCGCCGGGAGGCCTCAGGGGTGCAGGGCTGGTCCGACACTTGGGAAGAGGGGTGCGAATCGATGACTCGTGAGAAGTGCCATGCGTGACGCAAGAAATGGGGGGCGTAAGGGAGGATGAGAGGGACGGTCGTAGGTCATAAAACGGAGACATGCCGGACGGTGGACGACCTCTTTTATCTCGTGGTGCAAAATGCTGCATGCAGTTGCAAGCTTTGTCCCCACAGATTCCTCCAGGGGGCCCCCACGACCGCCCCCAAATGGCTCAACGGCAGCGCAACACACTGCTGGCATCACTGCTTTAGTGCTACCAGCAGCAGTGAAGCGGCGACCGGGCCGTGCCCCAGGGCCGCAGCCTCCTCCTGAGCTGCATCACTCCACAAGGTCGCCTGGCATGGCAGGGACCCCTCGCCTAAACCCGCTTGTGTGTGAGCTCTTTAATTTGGATTAGTTTGGTCCGAAAACTTAGCACGCCTTTGTGGCGGGGGGGGGGGGGGGGTGTTTCGAAAATGAGCCCTGACGCCTCCTGGCGATTCCTTCCAGCTCTGGCCGCTTGGGATGGGGCAGCGCACTTCAGTGGCCCAGTGGCGCTTCCCTGTAGCCTCGGGGAATCTCATCTCCCAGCCGAGTCAGTCTGGGTGCGACACGCTTTGCACGACCGGACAGCCAGCCTGGACGAGCAGCCGCAGCGATCCCAGCGTGGCTGGGGGAGGACATGCTCTTGCCTCCGCACTCGCCATTCCCAATTCCTTTAAAGGGAAAGTCCCAGTGCTGTGACCTTTAATGGTGCTCCCTTGTCCTCTGTGGCCAAGTTCTCTGGATTTCTGGGCAAAGAGGCCACACTCCGAATCATAATATTCTCAGAGTTCCCACATTTTTGCAATGACAGAAATGGTTGGGAATGTTTTTGCTTTGCATCCCGTGTAAGCTGGCTCAAGTGCCAGAATCTAATGCTCTGAAGACATCAGGTAACTCTGCAGTGCGCAGCGCAAAAGCAAGATCGCCCTCACGCTTGACACAGACACCGCTCTCCTTCCCCAGCCCAGCCCAGCCCTAGTTCTGTGAAATTGAATCGAATCCCACTCTGCTGCAGACCACGAAGTCCTGCTGGTGCAGGCGTCTTTGGCCTGGGCTGAATCCCGGAGCCAGCAGGAGGCTGGTCTGGGTCGAGTCTGAAGGCACCGATGCTCCTCAGGGTGGGAACAAGAGCAGCAACCTGGGATGTTCATGGGGGTGTTCAAGTGGAAAGTTGGGGGGGGGCATCCAGGAAACTTCAACACCCCACACACGTACTCCCAAGTAAACGTGGTCCACAAATACGATTTTAAAAAACACGGTGGAAAGGCAGTGAGTGGCACGGGGGACTCTGAGCGTCATGCACGTGGCGTCGCAGGTGTGACGACCAACCTGTGCGACCACAGTCCTCGCTGCACGTCCAGGGCTATGAGCTCATGTTCTGCAGGGAACTAGTCTCTTCCCTACAACACCAAGCTAGCTGACCTGAGCTGGGAGAGGTGCAGAAGTTACTGAATAACAGACCCATAGAACAATCGTAAGGCCATTGAGTGCAACCCCCTGCTCAGTCCAGGACTCTGAGTGAAACCACCCCCTCAGATGGCTGCCCAGTTACA